CCCTGGACTGGGAGAAACAGCCGTTTAAGGGTGCAGAGGCGCGGCCTGTGGGAAGCAGAGGACCCTGCTCCCTCCCTCGGGACAGGATCAGCCCCCAACAGAAGAGCCGCTTCAGTGCCCCTGTGCCCTGGTGGTGGCTGTTGTGTGACACGGTCGGCCAGATCGAGCCTGGGAAGCACCCCGGGGAGAGCCCCTCATGAGTGTCCGGGAGCAGCGCACAGGCCCGGCCTGGCTTTCTTAAGTTCCAAAGACCTCAGCGATGAAGTGGGGACTTGGAGCTAAGAAATTTGACATCAAGTTGCCGGCTACACACTTTCTTGTAGCATCTGTCTTCATCCCTGGCTCTCTGCACCTCTCGAACTAGAATGTAAGTGATCAGGCTTATATTATCATTGTGTGCGCCACACTTGGGCACCCAAATGTGTGTGCTGTACTTTTTTTTAAAGTAAATAATTAAAATATCTTCCAATAAATAGAGCATAAATTTGCATTTTTCTTTCCACCTCCCCATTGCTGTCATTCTTCATACCCTCTTGCCTGGGCCCGCCTCTTCCTGCTCTGACCTCTTCCTGCTCCGACCTCTTCCTGCTCCGACCTCTTCCTGCGCCAGCTCATTCGACACGCTGTCCCTTTTCTTAAAAATGGAGATTCTTCAGGGCCACCTTCTCTGAAACCTTCTGTGACCCTCCCTTTCACAGACAGTGGTTCTGGGAGTCCGGGTGTTTCTCAGTCTCTCCAGATAGCACAGCCGGCGTGTCGAGGGCCTGCCTTCACTTTGGGGACGACGTCTTGCACGTGGTTCGTGTTTAGCAACTTATTACTGAATTAAATTGACCATATGTAAACGAGGTGAAAACACTGTGCTCTGAATATCGCATTTAAAGCTTCTGTCCACAGCCAGCTTGCCTTTTAGCAAGAGCCCTGGCCTGCTAGCCTGGGGGTCCGGCTTCGGGACCCAGGAACCGGCCCTGTGGGGCTGTCAGGTACACGTGTCATTTGCGGAAACGCGTGGATCTGGGGTACGGCCTTTGCTTTCTGCAAAACAATAGAAGGGTGTTTTCTATGCACACTTGAGTCACCCATCTGCATAGTAATCTGACTTTTATGAATCGTGACGTCTTCCCCAAAGAATGTGCTCCGTGGATTTTACTGCGACTCCTCTGGGACTCCTTGCTGGCCCGAATGCACCCAGAGAGGCGGGTCTCGGGACTGGGAGCAGACACACGCCCCGAGACCCTTTCCTTTGGGGCGCGTGTTAGGTTCAGCCTCCAGAGCCGGTGCTGAAGAGGAGCTTGCTCCTCGCGGGTGCTGTTCAGACCCAGGACAGTGAAAAGTGCAGGCCTTACTGTCTCTTTTCACATCAGATAAAACCAGCACTGATGGGCCATCTCTGAAGTCCGAGACTTGTCTTGCTGGGAGCACAGCTGTTGTCACCCTGAGTGCCCGACGAGGGCGCTGGGACCAGAGTAGTGTGGCAGCGTGCACTCAGAGTCCTCCGGCCAGGCAGGGACGGTCACCCGGGGGCTGTAGAAATTTTAGGCGTGGCCTGGCTGAGGGAACTTTCCAACCGGACAGCACTGGAAGCCGTGCTGGCCGTCCCGAGGCTTCTCAGAGCAACCCTCAGGCAGCCCCCTGAGCCTGAGCTGAGGCCCGCGGAGGTTTCGGAAGCGTCTGCTTGAAGTGTTCCAGCTGTGACCCTATAAGGGAAACTACGCCGGTGCCTTGCTCGAGTGCGGCTGCTTGCTCCTGTGTCGCCTGGGCCTGTGTGCCCGCTGGGGCGCGCTCCTCACGCTCCCGCCCGGGGCCCGCAGTCTTGGGCCAGCGGGGCTCGGGGCAGGTGGTGCGCTCGGACGGTGAGCTCGGCAGGGACCGTCTTTCACTGCTTTTGATGTGTCTACTCTAAGAACAGCAGGCGTAGCTCCAAGGAAGGGACACTCCCTGCTATTCTCCTCTGCAACTTTTTTTCCCAAACAAATCTCAGGAATTTTGTCTGTTACGGAGATCTGCAAACAAACATGTGAGTTCAGCAAACACATATCGGGTGTCTGCTGTGTTCCAGCTCCCTGTCCAGTGTTGTGCCGGGCGTGCTACATACAGAGAGAGGTCACACGGACGGAGGGTCCTTGGCGTCCGGCTGCCCGCTGACGGGGAAGGAGACGGACACCGTCACCTGTAATCACCATACGCTGCGAGCCCTGATGAAAGGAGGCCACGGCGGCGGCACCAGAGCTGCGTGTCAAAGGCCAGATGCCAGGAGGCAGCCGGTGCACGGGGTGGTCAGGGCGCAGTGTGAGGGGCCGGGCGGGGCTGTGCAGGGTGCGGGCACCCTGCAGAGGGCGGCAGCGAGTGCCAGGGCCAGCGCCGAAAGCTGCCGGACGTGGGCCGGAAACCGCCTTGTTCCAAGGAGCTACAGGGGGACGCCCGAGGCGGGGAGGGAGAGACAGCCCAGAGCCCCAGCACTAGGCAGAATCTGGGACAAAGTCCGGAGTGGTCGTTGAAAAGAAGGAGGCAGGGGACAAGGGTAGTTTTCTGAAAAGCAGGTCGGCCCTGGGGCCAGCCACATGTCACAAACTGTTTCTTAATTGGAGCCTCACGTGTGGCCCAGTGGTCCCCAGTGAGGGGATGAGAGGGCGTTTTAGGAAGCCGGTCCCCAGCGCCCCAGCCTGTGGAGACAGCGTGACGAGGCGTGTACGGCAGGCGGGCGGTTGGACGGGCAGGCGGCGGAAGCGCTGTCCCCACACCACGGGCAGCCGCGGAACACAGGGCGTGCAGGCCGGCCGCTCCCCGACCCCTGCGTTTGTTTACACCCAGACCCCCTGCATCAGTCTTTTCTTTCTGAGTCTGAGTCCGGGTCACCCGTACCCTGGCTCACCTACTATTTCTTCAAGGACTCAAATGCTTTCATTTGTTAATATTTTGATTCTCAAGATTTCCATATTTTTTTTCCTGTTGTATATGATGTAAGGCCAATATTCAATTTCATTTTATTATGTTTTTCCCAATTGCAACCAGTTGTCCCAACTCTACTTACAAAGTCTATCATTTCCCCATTGATTTGAGACACTGCATTTATCAGCTGCTATATATTGATTGGTAATTAGAAAAGATGGCCTCAGTTAGGGTCTTTTACTGGGGAGCGCTTTGTAGACTGTAGAACGGTACGTTTGGGCCTCAGCTTGGTATGGCTCGGTGGATTCAGTGCCGGCCTGCGAACCGAAGGGTTGCTGGTTTGATTCCCAGCCAGGGCACAGGCCTGGGTTGTGGGCCAGGTCCCCAGTAGGGGGTTCGCGAGAAGTAACCCCACATTAATGTTTTTCTCCCTTTCTCTCCCTCCCTTCCCTTTTTCTAAAGATAAATAAATCATTTTTTTTAAAGTACATTTGGAAAGAATCCCATAAACCAGCTGTTTTCAAACTTTGTTGTTTAGAACTTTTTGGTCTCAAAATACAGATAGAAGACCCCAAGAAACTTTTGTTTATATGGGGTATCTATAGCTATCCAGCATGCTAGAATTCAGAACTGGCAGATATCTAAGATACTAATTTATTTAAGAAATAACATTTATGAAAAGTCACGGTACTTACCAGACGAGCTACGTCGTGTGAGTGCGCCATTTGCTACGTCTGCAGGAAGGTTCCCACAGGACCCGGCTGCTCCCGAGCAAGCTGGGCTCTCACCCGCTTCTGGATTCTGATCACTGTGAGACCTTGTTTTGGTGGAAGTACATGAGACAAGCTGACCCCGCACAGATAGTCTGGTTGCAAAGGAGAGAGTTTTAGTGCCTTTTCAGAAAAGTGTGGCGCTGTCTCTTGGCCGCCACGCTGACACTCAGCGAGCCCCAGCCTCCGGAGGGCCGGCTGCAGCGGGGACGCCAAGGCTGTGCACTTCCCTCCCTGTCAGGTCAAGGTGCTTCGGCCTGGGCAGCACGTTAGGTGGCTCTTACCCGCGCGTAACTGTGACGTGGTTCAGAGTTGGACGTGTCTTCCAAATGCTGGCAAACCGCACCACGTGAAATCAGACAACACGCCTTCCGTCTAGACAGCCGGCCTGCTGCGGCCTGTGGCGGTGGCTCCCATGCGCCGCCCGATGCCTCCCACAGGACATTCGAAAGGCGTGTCCTCAGGGCTCAGACTTAATAGAAGCGGTGACCTTGGCTGCTCTCTCAGAGCTATCGAAGACACTCCTGGGCGAGAGTAGCGTCTGTTTCATTTTCGTACTGCAAGTGCGTGGCGGGGAATGCAGTGACCATGGTGTGCCTGGGTGTCACCGCTTTGGCCAAGAGGCCAGCCGGTCAGCCGCCCTTACGCTGGCACTGTTAGTGCAGAAAAAGGCGGACAGTGTCTCAACACGGCGGACCCCTGAGAGGCTTGTGGAGTCCGTCAGAGGCCAGCGGCATGACCTAAAAGGATCTGGCCTCGGCCACATGGCCCAGCCTTGTGGACAGCAGAGGGAAGGGCAGCCACAGTCCTAGCAGGAAAAGACTCCCTAGGAGGCCAGGGCCTGAGCGTGTGGCTTACGTCCTCCTCGGCCTCCGGCATCCCTGTCGTCACCCCGTAAGCATGTGCAGGCTTCCTGGGGACGGCGCCAGCCCGACCAAAGCAAAGAGCTGGGTGTTGAGTTTCTAAAACTGTGTCCTAGTGGTTATTTGAAAACTATTTGGCATTTGAAACTACCGACTCCTTGACATTGAGATTTAATAGCGTGCAATTGACACCAAACGGTGATGTCAGGCTTTCGGGCCGTGCCTCCATCTGCCGGCGCCTGGCCTGGCGCCTCTCCCGGCCGAGTGCCACTGCCCCCGAGCAGAAGCGAAGGAGAGGCCGTTGGCCCAGCAGGCGATGCACGCATCTATCTGTCTCCCTGGTTCCAGCAAACGTGTTTTTCTTGCTTGAATGCTGTATCAGCCATCAAGCTGACCGTGAAATGCTTTGAGAGTTAGCATTTATGTGTTGACATTTACAAACCAGTGGTCTAACAGTCCCGTCCTCCTTTGTTTTCAGCAATGGAAGAGTTAATAGTCGAACTTCGTCTCTTTCTTGAACTCCTGGACCACGAGTACCTGACGTCCACGGTCCGGGAGAAGAAGGCGGTCATCGCCGACATCCTGCTGAGGGTCCAGTCGTCCAGAGGTGCGGCCCCCCTCCCGGCCCTTCTCCCGGCCCCTCGGCCTGGGCCGTCTGTGTCCCACCATTTTCTAAAGCGTACTCATCTGTCTGCTGACTTGTGAGTTTACTCAGTCGCTGAGCTGTCACTGCAGGCCTTGCTGTGTGCGGGCACAGTGTCAGCCTCCTGGCAGGGGGAGAGACAGTCTTCAGGAGGCTCGGGGAGCAGCGGGTATGTCGGGGGCCCCAGGAGCACCCACACTCACAGCTTCACTGCGAGGACCTGGCACAGGTGGTGCTCTCTCACGCCCGGGACTCATTACGGGGCAAGAGGGGTGCACAGCCAGGTTGTAGGGAGAGATGCAGGCGTGGTCTGGAGGAGTCCCCGTGCAGCCTCCTCTTGCTGGCTGTCCTCAAGTGTCACTCAGAGCCCACGCCTCCCTGAGCAGCAGAAATGCAATGGCCAGTGCGCCACCCAAATTCCAGACCCCCGGAGAAGCAGGTTTGCTAGGCTTCTTCAAGGAAACGGAACCCCTGGGAGAGGGAGCGGGAGAAGGAGAGGGAGGGGGCTGACTGTGGGGTCGGCTCATGCGGTCATGCAGGCTGAGAGCTCCCGTCGTCCCCTGCAGGAAGAGACGCAGGAGAGTCGGCGGTGGGGGTCAGTCTCGGCCTGGAGGCCTGAGAATTGGGGGGCTGATGGTGTAGCTACGGGTCTGAGTCCAAAACCTCAAGAACCAGCATCAGCAGGTGGAGGGGGGAGACGGGGTGGAGACATCCCGCCTCAGACCGAAAGCCACCTGCTCCACCTCCGCCTGCATGTGCTTTCATGCTGTGGAGCCCGCAGCTCCTCGGACGCCCCCACAGTGGGGGCGGCCGTCCCCTTCACTCAAGCGCCCAAGCCCATAGTCAGTCTCTTCCGGAAGCACCTGCCAGGCCCTCCTGGCAGTAGTGTTCGCCCAGCCCTCTGTGCACCCCGCAGCCCCGTCAGGCTCGCACAGAGCTAAGCACCCGGCCAGTGGCTGGTGTGATCGCTGCTGTTCGCGCAGACAGCCTCGGTGCAGTCCGCCAGCCTTGGCCGTTAGGGACGACGGGAGCACTCCGAAGCCACGTTCCCGCTGCTGCCAAGGGCGTCCTCGCCCCCAGGCCCTCGTGGAGACAGCAGCTTGCGTGCTGCTTCTGTGCTCAGAGGGTAGGACGGAGCAGCAGGTAGGGATAGCCTGGTGAGTGTGCTGCAGAGGGCGCCAGCTGCGGGGAGAGCCCTGGAGGGCTCCAGGTCCGCCAAAGAGAATGGGGCGGAGCGGTGCATTGTGGGGCGGGGGGGCGATGTCAGACTCGGGAAGATGCTGGGGGAGGCAGCTGGCGAGGCGCAAGGACTGCCTTTCCGCAGCTTTGTTGAGACACGATTCATACGCCACATACACGCTTTACCCACTTGATGTGTACAGCTCCTAGTTTTTAGCGCAGGAAGCCACGGGCTGAAACAACTAGACTTGCGTTCTGTCCCTCGGGTCGAAGGGTTTGGCAGCAGTCTGGGGGCGCCCCGGAGGGCCCCGGGAGGATGGGGGACCGGCCGCTGAGACAGGCGCAGGGTGAGGGCTGCGTTCCGCAGGCGGCTGGGGCGCATCCCCCGCTGGAAGGCCAGTGTCACTTCCTGCCCGGACCCCTTCGCGGGTGTCTTCTCTGGCCCCACAGAGACTTGGTGGTGGTGCCTTTTCAGGTAATCGTGAATATTCTTCTTTGATACGGCACCAAAACTCAGCAAGCCAAAGTTTCTTAAAGGCCAGTGGCAATGTAGACTGACTGGTTTCGGTTCCTGGCTCTGTCCGCCACCAAATATGCAACCTTCCACAAGTCAGTTAATCTCGTAAAGCTTCAGTCTCTTCCCCTCTGCTGCCCTCCCCGGCACGGTGCTCACCATGATGTCTAAGTGCCAGCTGTGCACACACTGGCCTTCCCAGGGCGAGCGTGAGTGCAGGGGGCCTGAGCTTGTGTCGGTTCTGTCCCCAGTAAGTTCACTTGGGACGGCGTCTGGGGTTAAGAGGGAACGTAAGACAAATTACTGAGCCCAGGAAGGCATCTGCCCTCTTCTACCCAGGTAAGTGCCAAGCTGAGCTGGAGTTCAGGTGAACGATGGCCCCGGAGAGGCCGCGCTGCACAAGGACACTGGCTCTGCTGCCAGCTCCGTCACCTCTGCCTGTTCACGCTCACTAGGCTCTGTAACCTTTCCTTCCCAGCCATCAAGTCTTAACCTGCAAAATGGGGAAGAGTAACGCTTGCCTTGCACGCTGTTGTGAAGGATCAGAGACAATGAGGATTTGCGGAGAGTTCAGTACGGGGTGGGGAGGAGACAGCTGACAGCGGTGCTGTCCCCCCTCCTCACCCAGGCCTGTGGTTTCGGTTGCTGCATACAGGTGTGGACGTGAAAGACCATGCTCCGAAGCAGGAGACCCCCAGCAGCCTGCCGGCCCCTCCCCAGATGCCTCTGCCGGAGATCCCGCAGCCGTGGCTGGTGAGTTAGCCCCGCGGTCACGGCACGGATGGCCAGACTCCCGGCTGACTTCCGGTCCCAGGGGCAGGTGACGGAGGCCCGACTCTGGAACAGAGGGGCCTCCGAGCGGTGCAGGAGCTGCTGCGGGCCGCAGAGTGGGAGGCTGTGAGAGCGGCCCTCCCTCCCGGGGCTGGTGCTCCTTTCAGAATTCCTGCAGCCGCAGGCCCATGGCAACCTACTCTTGGATTGAAAAACCCCGGGGACTCAGCAGGCAAAGCAAGGGCAGCAGAGCCGGGCTTGAGCCTCTCTCTGGGTTAACTGAGTCTGAACTGTAGTCTGCAACTCTCATGCTCATTGTTATACTGCTCTTGGGTTTCTGAGCAAACACACACACACACACACACACACATGTTTTCAGGAGACAGGGCGCACCTATTGCAGGAATGTGTCTCTCACTTGACCTTGTGTGCTCAGGGTCTGTGCTGGGGTCCCTCGGCCCCCACTGCCAACGGGGCATCCCCCCACGTGCAGCTTTTCACACGCGTCCCCCCGTTCTGCCCCTGCCACTGTCCCGTTCGTCGGGTCGGGGAACTCAGACGTCCGCCCCCAACGGGAGCGCAGGTGTCGCACGGCAGCTCGTGTTCTCTGTGAACCGCCAGCCGCCTCTCCGCCAGGAGAGGAGCTGCCAGGAAGCGGGCCTGCACCTCGCGTGTTTCTGTCTCGCCTGGGCCCCGGCGGCCGCCGAGGTCGGGGCGCTCTGCGGCGAGCCTTTCAGAGGGGCGCGGAGGGCGATGGCCTTACTGGGCTCCCGCCCCAGTAAGCCTGCTTGTTATTTTTTCACTTATAATTTCATTTAATCCTGACAGCTTGACCTTGAAGGGCCCCCAAAGTAACCGAAAGCATGAATAGTATGTATACCCATGATTCACAAAAGGAAATCGGGGTCCAGTGAAGATACGTGATTTGCTCAAGGTCCTATAGTAACTAGGAAAGGCCAAAATTGTAACCCGTTCCTGTGACCTCACATCCTGCCCGTTGTCAGCGGTGCTGCTTGCGGGGCAGGGCAGCTGAGCCGGGCCACCTCCACGAGGGAGCCGCCTGCTCCGCAGCAGCCCGACGGCGCCCCCTGCCCTTCAGGGGAAGCTGGGACAGGCTGAAGGAGGCTGCTTCCTGGGAGGGCTCTGCTTTCCGCCGGATTTTTGTTTCCGTTGGTGCTGAGGCCGTGCCGTGGCAGGGCCTGCGCTCGGCGCTCACCCACGGCGGCCCTGCCCTGGCCGGGCCTGATCCGGAGAGTCACTGACGGCGCCTCGTCCCTGCCCTCCCCGACCCTCACCTCCGGGGCTTTCCCGCTCCCCCCCATGGACGCCCTGTCTCCGTTCAGCTCCCCTTGCTGCCTCAGCCTGCTTTCCGTGTTTGTGAGACATGCAAGTTTTTTATCGCTTTAGTATTTTATTTTTGTTTTTGGAAACATGGATGTTTTGATGTCAGTCCTTACCACCTGGTCTGTTGGTTGCCTTAGAGCCTTCCTACATATCAACACCTGAGAGATGAGACTGTGAGGGTCTCTAAGAGCACATGACAAAGTGAGGTGTTCTACCTGCCCCAGAGTTGAGACTAAAGCCCAGGATTGAAGACAGCAGAGCCGTTGGTTTCCTGGTGAAATCAGATGTGACCCTGTTAGTGGATGTGACCCATCTTGTCCCTTTGTTCCTTGTCTTTCAAGACTCTTGGAGTTCTGGTATAATTCCACGGCATCTTTGCGTTAATTCTGCTCGTGCTGGGTGGCTGTGCGCCGCATCGTGCCCTGTTTCTGGTAAGCCTGCCTGGGGCCGTGAAGGCGGGCACCGCCGCCGCCCCCCACCTTCCTCCTCGTGCGGAAGCGGAGCTAGAGGAAACCAGGGGTGTACTCGAGTATGGAATGCAGATTAAACAGCCATCAGGATGGAGTGGGGCGTGATGTGGGTAAGAACTTCTATTTTGTCCAGGAGACTCTTTACTCCAAATTCTTGATGCTGGGATTGAAACCTTTTTTGCAGTTTAGACTGCAAAGTTTTGCTGTCAACTGAACGTTACCCTGCCCTAGTCCTCAGTTTCCCTGGCGGCCTCCCGGAGGGATGGGCCGCGGCACAGAGGGTTGGGGTGCGACAGGGACACTGCCGGGTGTCACGGGTACGTGACGGAACTGGAACAGGAACCCTAATTTTCGTATGTCAGATTTTTGTCATTTTTGGCTGCTGCTCTTAACAGATGTTAATCATTGAAACCAGAAAAACGGAATCTGGCTGCCCCACCGTATGTAGAGTTTAGAGCAGAAAATGACTCCAGGGTCTAGGCTGGCGTTTTCTCTGATGAACTCAGGTCCCGTCGTCTGTTGGTGATTTAGCGCAAAGGACTAAGTAACGCATTGGGGTGGGAGGCGGGGAGGGGGCGGGGAGCAGCAGGGAAGCACAGCGCCCGTGGAGGGCGGGTGTGAGAGGGGCTGGGCGCGCTGGGCGCAGCGGTGCGGCTGCTCCCCGCCTCTCGGCTCGGCTCGGCCCCGGCCGCAGTCCGCGGTCGGCCGTGACCCAGGGTCGCCTTTCCTGCCAGTCCGTAGCCTCCAGGCCAGTGGTCAGCGCTGGCTCTGGCTGACTTATGGCCTCCCGGTCAGCTCTGAGCATGTATGGCCCTGGCCAAGGTCTTCATCTCCTGAGCCTCAGTTTCATTTGTAAAATCATAACCAGATTTCCAGTTACTTTCTAAACAAGAGAAAGTGTGTACAGAGTATCCCAGAGCAGCGTCTGACACATGGCAGGCAAACAATAAACGGTGCTGGTTGCGACGGTGCGGAAGTAATAGTGAGAATAATTACTATACTCGTACCATGCAATTATATAAAGACACTGTTTATTATTTACGGAGAACGGACTCTCTGTGAGGCTGTTCCTCAAAGTAGCAAAGGCAAATGCCAACGGGCTTTTTTCCCCAAGAAAACGGGGATTAAATTACAGCCACATTGTGAGCCAAGCAAGCCAGCAGATTACGCCGCTGCCCAGTTGTAAACTTCTAATAAGACCTGGAGGCCCTGAAGTAGGCATTTCCAGTGTCTGAGGCAGATAAGGTTCCCAAACTAAAACGTGACTGTCACTTAAGTATCCGTTTGTGGAAGGAATAGTTTGGTGGTTTTAAAAGTCATTAGCGCCTGGCACTGTGCTGTTTCTGTCTCTTAGGCCAAGCAAAGGCCCGTCCGTCTTTGTGGCAAACAGCCCGCCGTCTTTCTCCGCAGGTGCGGGGCGAGGCTGCGGTGGGGGACCCAGGCCCTTGTTTTCCCGGCAGCCCTGCGAGAGCCAGCCCGGGGCAGCGCCGCGATGCGTGCGGGGCGGGCGAGAGCTCCGCCCACGGATGGGTCTCTCCTGGCATGGGGAGAAGGCCGCACCGTCCAGGGAGAGTCGTGCCACGTCTGTGTGTCACGTTACCGCTTGGAAGGTACTTCTGAAGTACCCACTGTGGCCACAGATTGTAATGTCATTTACCACTGAGTGAGGCCACACAGCCAACTCTCACTAAAATTGTGAAATATCTCAAGCTGGCTTTGTGAAAATGGTAGAAATGGAATTTGAGAGCCGGGACAGACATGAGAGCTGGTCATAATCCAGCGCCTTCAGTTGCAGGCGGGGAGCGTGGGGCTCGGAGTGACGGGAAGGGGCAGGGACCCGGGACGGGCCGGCCCGGTGGCGTGCGCACCGAGCACTTGAGCGCTGGCGCCTTGCTCCTGCTCTCATTGCCTTCCTGTCCCTTGGGTCTCCAGGGTCCCTCTGGGAGACCTGCCTTCCTGTTTGGCACCTTTAGCGGCTCCTGCTGATGGTGGTTTCAGTGACTTGTTAGCCATGAGAGAGGGTCTGAAGGAGGGCTCTCCTCTGAGCGGCGGGACCTCCGGGGGACCGGGGCGCGCGCCGGGGGCGGGGCACTCAGGAGCGATGCACAGACCCTTTCTGCAGAGAGGATGCTCCTCTGGAAATATTACTTTTGGAGGGTATTACTTCCAAGACAAACTAGTTTATTTTCTGGTTTTAAAAATGATAAATATTTTGTAGAAAATCCAAGCTATACAGAAATGCGTAAAAAGAGAGAGAGAGAGAGAGACAGCCATATGTTAATGTTGCAGTGAATGTCTTTCTGCCTTTGTAGGTACGTAAGCACAACACATTCTATGTAGTGGACGCTTAGAACCTGTTTTCCTTCGTGTAACGGTATCTAGTAGGGGTTTTTCAAGTAAGCGTCTTGGAGATGCACAATCCTTTCGAATGTCCGCTCAGAGCTGTGTCAGTGTATCTAAGCAGCCTTCTCTTGGCGACACTTAGATTGTCTTCAGGTTTTGCTGAACTCACCTTTATTGAACATCTCTACACGTTTTTGATAACACGACCCCTTGACCTCCTTGGCACGTGCCTCCAGCAGGGGAGTTCTTGGCCCCAAGGGCGCCGCCGACAGCGTGTGCCGAAGCGCGGCCGCCAGAGGGTTTGGCAGGCTGGCGCGAAGCCCGTCCGCGAGGAGAGCAGGCAGCTCGGGGCGCCCTGGGCGTGCTCGCAGCGCTGGCATGGCTGGGAGAGCGGGCCCCGTGCCCCCGAGCTCCCGGCTGGAGGCATGGGCCTTGGACCGGACTCCCGGCCCCGGAGACCTTGGCAGCCCAGTGGTGCGGGGACAGCTATGGGGACAAGGAGAGGCACCTCTGTCAGCTCTGGGGGTTCGCGTCACCGTGTTCTCTTTGGGAAGGGGGCCCGGTGCCCGGAGCCGGGTATGCAGGGTGCGCACGGGCGACGGGCCACAGGTCTGCTCACTGCCGGAGGCCGGAGGCGAGGTGAGGGGCGTGTGGCCGGGGCCGGGCTGGGGTGCACGCGAGCAGGAGGGCCATGGAGACCCAGTCAGGGGTGGAGCCGCAGACCCTCCTGCTGGGCTGGTGCTCTTTTCTGCCGGAGGAAAGAGAGAGTTGACGGCCGACACCTGCGAGGTGAGAGTGGGCGTGCTCTTCTCCTGATGCCCTGTTGCTCCCCTTTGTCCCCCAGCCTCCTGACAGCGGGCCGCCCCCGCTGCCCACGTCCTCGCTCCCGGAAGGCTACTACGAGGAGGCTGTGCCCCTGAGTCCTGGGAAGGCTCCGGAATACATCACCTCAAGTGAGTGTCGGGTCCGCGGCCGCCGCTGGCTCGGGGTCGCAGGCTGTGGGAGAGCCCAGCCCTTTCCTGGGCACGAGAGGACAGGGCGCCCGAAGCCCTGTGCCGACGGGGAGGGAAGCCAGTTTTGAACCCCACGAGGTAAGTGCGGAGGGCGCTCAGGAAAGCCGAGAGCATCTCCCGAGTCCCGCTGGGGATTCGGGCTGTTGGGCCTCCACATCGGGGGAGTCTTGTTGCTGTGGAAACGTGTCCTGGCGACGCCTGTTCCCTTTGGTCAGAGGGGAATGCCTCCTGGCGGCACGTTCTCCAGGGCCTATCCCCTGGGCTGTGGTCACTGTGCCGTGTCGAGAGTGTCCCCCGGGTCGAGAGTGTCCCCCACGTCTGAGAGTCCCTGGGCACCCATAGGCATGTCGCCAGGCATTTCCTCCGTCCGGACAGGCTCTGGCGGGACGCTTTTCCCTGGGTTAGAGCGCGCTGCCTTGGCGCGACTCCTGTCCACGGCCTGCACGGGGCCTCTCCGAGGTCCGTCCCTGCGTTAGTGCCCAGCTTCCCCGTGCGGCAGGCGGACGCTGCGGGCCTTCCCGGAACAGCCCCGGGGCCGTGCCCTTGCAGCACTGGCCCTCGCTTTCCTCGCGGCGCTCTGCGGGCCGTGGGCGGTCGTACCCTCGGGAAGTGGAGGATCTGCGTGCGTGTACCCCACAGGGCAGCCAGTCCCAGCTGTGACGGCAGGGGCGGGGGGGGGGGGGCGCTGCAGCCCTGGAGCCCCTGCGGGCGCCGCTCACCTCCCCGGCCTTCCTGGGCGACCTTTCCTCCAGGCCGGGGCTGTTGTCCTGACCTCTGTCCCCTGGGCCTCTGCGGCGTACAGACTCGGGGTGCCCTGCTCGCCGCCCCGGCCACAGCACACAGCGTGCCGTCAGCCAAGCAGAGCCCCACTCGGGGCCACAGCCCGGCCCCCCAGCCTGCGTTCTGATCAGGAGGGGGACGTGCTGAAGCCCGGGCGCCGGGCCCTTTGCTGGCTCCCCGGGCCTGTTTTCTCGGCTCCCAGGAAGGTCCGATGGGCACTCAGCCCAAGGCCCGTGCACACTGGCTCGGTTTGGATGCAGAGGGGGCCAGCTCAGCGAGGAGGTCAGGCAGCGTCAGCGTGAGGCCTGCAAGCCAGACCCCGCACTTCTCTGCCAGGCGGGGACTGCGGGAAACCCCATGCAAGTCACGCCTGTGTCCGCTGCTCCAAAAGACAGGACATTGATTAGAAAACACACATAAAATTAAATGGCTTAAAGTGATTAAAAACATTCCTGGATTCCTTTGTTTCTAACAGCAATGAGTAAAATGATTTTTTTGACAAGGGTATTTCCTAGCATTTGGGACATTTAGTTTTCTAGCTTTTCAAGATATTAGAAATGGACACGTCCTGTCCCTTAGAGAAGCCACTCCTTAGTTGCTGACCGCTGGACACTTTGGTGAGCTAATTCCAGGAGTAGGAGTGATGGAGGGACTCATGCTCGGGACGGCGAGTCAGCCGTGACGGCACTCTGTGGCGTCTTTGATCGTTACCCGTGGTTCACTGACCTGCCCTCCCGCCGCCTCGAAGGACAGTGCAGGCCAGGCCAGGGCCATGCCGCCCCGCTCCCTGTGGGCTCCGCGGCAGCCCTGGAGCCCTGCCTCAGGACTCGTAAATGTCCTGGGAGAAGTGTCCTAACTGTGGAGCACAGCCCAGGTCCAGGTGGGGACCCAAGGAGCAGCCTGCGGCAGGTTGGGGCCTGTCGGGAGGGAGGCCGGTAAGGGCTGGGGAAGAGAAAGAGCACCCTGAGGCCCCCTCCCGCCTCTCACTCCAAACCTGGTGACACGGGTGGCCAGCAGTCCCACGGAGCTGCACACACCTGGCCCGGGACTCAGAAGAGACCATGCAGGGGCCGCAGGCCCATGACTGCCCACGCCAGCACGGAGTGCCAGCCATTGCGACCAGGATGCATGCCACGTGGCAGCGGGCCCCCCTGCTGCCTTCCACCCGGCCCACAGGCTCCCTTGTGGCCAGCCTGAATGAGAGTCGTCTGGGACGGGGATCTGGGGGGACATCGCCCATTGCAGCCTTGCTGAGCCGAGGCTATGGGACACCTTTGCCGCGACCCTCCGCCAGTGGGCACTGTGCACACCTCGGAAGTAGCGACTTTCCCAGTGAAGACGATGGCCCAGTCATGGCTCAGCATAGCACGCTGCACCAGCCACCCGCGTGACGTCAACTCCCTGATGCCCCAAGGACACACGGTCCATCCTCCCGCTCTGGGGAGGGGCCCTGGCTCCTGGCAGAGGCTGACCCCCCCCCGCCCCCCCGTCGAGAACCTCTTGCTCACAATGGCGTCCGCAGCTGTTAGCGCTTCCCACACTGGGGAGGGGGGCCGTCGGCGGGGGAACGAATGTGTTTATCATACACAAATGTGTGCGCATCGAAACAGGAGGACACGCTTGCAGCTACTTCAGTCCTTACTGTTCCAGCAGCCCGTGTCGTGGCTGGTGTTTAGGACCTCCTCCTCCCCCTTTTAAGGGCGGAAGGGCTTCTGTACAGCCGCTCCAGGGACAGTCTGGACCGCTGATTTGCTGTCCACAATGACCTGTGACCACAGTCCTCAGTGCCATGTGACCTTCTCCCCCGTTCCTCTTGGCACAGGCTTGGCATCCCTGGTGTCCTTAGCGACAGTATTGCACAGGCCTCTTAACTGGTCCCCTTCTCTCTGCCACCCCAACTCAGCCCCTTCATAGTGTGTCACCAAAGTTACCTCTTCAGTCACCTGCGTGTCTGGCTCAAAACCCTTCACTTCTTTTTTGTGATTTAAAATTCCACTTCAGCATCCGATCTTTCCCTTCTCCCCTCTCAGTAACGGCTCTTTGTGAGAGAATTAAAATGCAGGAGTGACCACTGAGTACAAATTATAATTCGGTCTCCCGTGAGCAAAAATGTGAACTCTGCCCTGCACAAGGTCTATCGTTCCCACCGCATTCACCAAGCCGTGCGGCCTGTTGCTCCAGCCGAAGCGTCTCCTTGCCTGTCGTTCGTTCCTGCTCAGGTGTCCGCTCCCCAGGCAGGCTGGAGAAGGAATGCCTTCCAGCGTCGGGGGTGGAGGGGACAGGGAGGAGCAGGACTGACGTCCGACGCCAGTCCCGCCCGTCACTGGTGCCCACTAAGCCCTGGCGGTGCAGCCATCCTTTGGGGGTTTGGCAGGTACACTTTAAGTTCACCTGACAGTTCTTCTTTCTGCAGACGCTTGCACACGTGCCCTGGGCCAGGCGTTTTGTACCTGTGGGGACGACCCTTTCCGACAGGGTCTCCCTTCCCTTGGGGGGCCTGCGGCCTGGTGTGGGAGACAGACAGACCCCATGACAGTGCAGCAGGGCAAGTTGTGTGCTGGGTGGTGCAGGAGCACCCAGGACGGGCATCTCGCCCCGCGCCCACCAGGCAGGCACAGCCAACGCACGACGGAGCGGCTACTCTCAGGCGCTTAGCGCCCACGGCCTGGAGGCGGGGAGCCGGAGGCTAGAGCGCAGCCCGTCCAGCCTGGGGAGAGCTGCTCTCCTCCACGGCGCACAGGCGGCCGCCTTCCCCCAGTCCTACCTGGGCAGAGAGAGCCGGTCAGAATAGGGCCCTGCCCTGTGACCCCATTTGACCTTCATGACTTTGAAATCTCCTTCTCCAAATACGGTGACACAGGGGCTGGAGGCTCAGCACGTGGCTTTGGGTGTCCCTGTGGCATGGAGTGAAGGGGTGTGAGTGTCTCTGCAAGTCCTAGGGTCACCTGAAGGGGGGGTGGCCTTGGGCTGGATCCAAACGTTAGAAAGGGCTCGTGCATGTAACGATGCCAACAGGGAGTAGGACATCGCAGCCCAGAAAGAACTTTGACACGAAGGGTGGGCGGGGGAGCAGGGGACCTCTGTGGCCCGGGGTCTCATTTGGTGGGACGCACCACGGGACTGGGGCGGTGTCACCTGGCAAGGCCACGGCAAGGATTCCGCAAGGCCGCGTCTGCCGAGTGTCCAGACGGTACCGAGCAGTCTAGAAATGGTTTTTCTCGGTACAGGACTTTCACTCACTTTAATTTGAAGTCCTCCATTGAGTTTCCACTGCCCAAGTCTAGGCGCCCTTTTTCCTTGTCTGCATTCAGTCAGGCTCCCCAGTGCCGAGTGCAGACGCCGTGTGCTCACCGACAGAGTGACGCGGCCCTGAGCCCAGGTACAGATTCTGTGACGAGGTCTTTCTTTACCTTTCTCCTTCCTTCCTTCCTTCCTGACAGCTTATGACTCGGATGCAATGAGTAGCTCTTATGAATCGTATGATGAGGAGGAGGAGGATGGAAAGGGGAAGAAAATGCGACACCAGTGGCCCTCGGAGGAGGCCTCCATGGACCTGGTAAAGGACGCCAAGATATGCGCCTTCCTGCTGCGCAAGAAGCGCTTTGGACAGTGGACCAAGTTGCTCTGCGTCATCAAAGATACCAAACTGCTGGTAAATCCGCCTCGCGAACCGATTGCTCTTGTGTTGGGCCAGTATGCCTTCCTGGGCAGTCTCACTTGGTGGCGTTTATACCCATCAATGCCCGCCACCGCAAGGGGGAGAGGGCAGCGCAGACCTCAGAACTTGCAGCGTGCTCGCAGCGTCCGCGCTGGCCCCGCCGCTATCCGCTGGCGCTGGCGGACATGGCTGAGTCGTTAATACAGGGTTTTACCAGCTCCCTAAAGCCAGCAGCGGGCAGAAGCCTCCCTTCTGGCAGTGTGTGTGGTTTGCGTCAGTGCAAAGGCACAGCGCTGACCTTGCCAGGAGCTGCAGGATGGGTGTTCTCATCCGCAGTGAGTCAGTGGATTCCTCAAAGCCGGGCTGGAGGAGCGGGGTGGTGGCCAGCCCTCTGGAGGGGTGTGGCCGGACAGGAAGTTCTTCCGGAAAGCCGAGGCCTGCTCTCTCCCTTTCTTTTCTTTCCTCTTTTCTTTCTCTTTTTCTCATCCCCTCCTTCCTCCCTCCTTTCTCTATCTTTTCTCTCTTTCTCTCCTCTCTCTCTCTCTTCTTTTCTCTCTTCCGTTCGTTCTTTCCTTGATTCCACTGAGAGGCCAAGCAGGCAGATACAGTAAGTCACAGAGCAGCGGGCCCCGGAAACCGACCTGCAGCCATGGGCCTGGCTCCAGCCAGGATGGTGCTGAGGAGGCCGGCAGGTCTCCCTGCCTCCCCTCCTTCCTTCCCAGCTGTAGAAACCTCAGTTGATTTAGAGTTTTAGAGCATGTTTTTGCTTTTTGTTTTGCTCTTGTTGCAAATAAAATTAATTTGCTCTTCAAATTAACCTTGAGAAAAAAAATCACTGAGAGTCCTATCATTAAAACAGCACATGCGAAGTCATGTTTCTATATATCACTCTTTAGTGAGGCAGATAGCTTTTTAGGGATTCATGTGTGAATCATGGCAATCTTATTTTACTAGATTCTTAGGGCATTGTATATTGTTGAATTAATGGTTTTGTTCAATTTTTTTAAAAAAACAGAGTCCAAGTTTTTTCCACTTGCATGGCGTGAAATCTCCCATATTTAGAACATGCCAGAAATGATGCTGTGGGGGGATTTGACAACAAAGAATGGGGAAAAAAGATGGGTAGGGCGGGTGTGGTCCTTATGAACACTCTGACATAATGGCCGCAAGATGTGGACGTGTCACAGAGACGCGTGTGAGCAGCGCCCAGGCGCCTGGTGGGGGCTCCAAGCAGGCGGAGCCTGTGGCACGCAGGCCAGCGGCTCGGAGGGGCGCGTCCCCGCGTTCACCCCTCTACTGTGCCCTGTCTCCCCACCTTCCCCTCCTTTTTCTTCACTTCCATCTCCTACCAGAAGCCCTATCTTTACAACCAGGGTGGTAACACCTGCCACGTAGAGTAGCTGTAACTATTTCAGAAGAAATTGATGGAAAGCCACGTGAATGCACTGTTTTCAATAAAGTGCAGAGTCAAAGTTAACTTTTTTTTTTTTAAGTTGGTTATTTTTATTATGAAGGTTTTTTTGGTTCAAAAATGGCCTATGACCCAGGCGACCCCGGTTGACACTGAAAAAGGATGGGCAGTGACCACAAGAGCACAGGCCTCCGCGCCTGGACAGCGCAGAGCCTGGGGTGGAGCCGGAACGCGGGCTCTGGGCGCCCGCGAGCACACTGCTGCCACTGTCTGTGCCCAGAGCCCCCTCCAGTCCCCAAGGACCTGTGCCCTCACTTGTAGAAAGGGGTCCCAGCGGACAGCTCGTCCACGGCCGCGGTCCCTTCCCAGTGGGCCCGCATCTGATGTCACACCTGGGACAGCCTGATGGCGCGCTTCAGCCCCAGAGCCCCCCGTGGGTCTGCCCGCCGAGGCCTTTCAAGGGCCGGCCGCCTCACAGCGCAGCCCCTGCCCGGCGGGCCTGCTCCCTGCCCCTCTCCTGCCGGGCCGCCCTCGGGGCGCAGCGAGTGAGCGTCCTGCCGCCGCTCTCGCTTTCGGCAGCTGACCCTGGAGCGCCCCTGCTCGGACCTTCCGGCGGCAGCGGGTCAGGTCACGGATGGGGCAGCCTTCCAAGGCGTGTGGCCCCAGGAAAGTCTGAGCTGCAAAGGTCCCCTTCCACGCCCGCGTCTCTTCTGCTCACTCGGAATGCGGGGCAGCAGGTGCAGGGTGGGCGCTCCCTGCAGGCCCAGCTGCGCTGGTTCCCATGGAGTTTTTATCTTTCCTTTTTAGACAGAGGAAGCATCCGTTGAACTTTTTAGAAAAGTAGACCTGTTCCATCCGTGTGCCCTTCAAGAGCCATGATTTTAGAACTGTCAATAATTATTTTGGAACGTAGGAATCTGTTTACTCATTCCTCCATCGCAGATGGCTTAGGACTCACATGGTTTGGGGCTGGAGTCCTGCATCTGCCACTTGCTCGGTCACCTGACTTTGGCAAGTGACTTCACCAAAGCCAGGTTACTGAACTCAGTTCCCAAGCGAGGCTGATACAGTCTGCGGACGGACACCTGTGACATCGAGGCACCTGAGGTGCCTCGTGTAAGGACGGCAGTCCCGACCAGGTGACAGACGTTACTGGTACCAATACCATAAGAAAATAACAGTAGCTCACTTCACAAATGAAGAAACAGGCTCAGAGCGCTTAAGAAACTTCCCCGGACCCAGGTTAAATTAGTAGGAGAGACAGGGCCCAGGCAGCCGACTTCCTCCCTGGACACGTGCATTGGCACAAAAAGGCATGTGCTTCTAGTCCCCAGGACACCACTGAACCACGGGGGTTGGGGGGGCGGGCAGGGCCCCTCAGTACGAGGGTGGGGCCCCAGGCTTACAGACCTAGAATGATGGGAACTAGACCCTGGTCTTCCCCCAGCATATGGCCTGCGGCGCGCACGCGGGCATGTAAACGGAGCAGCGACTAGGCAGCAAACCTTACACGCGGGCATGTAAACGGAGCAGCGACTAGGCAGCAAACCTTACACGCGGGCATGTAAACGGAGCAGTGACTAGGCAGCAAACCTTCGCAGGCGTTTTTGCCTCTTAGGTGTTGATGTTGATGCTCTCACTGAAATCACTCCTCTGTCCTTCAAAGAGGGTAGAGACGGACGGGCGGCCACCCCAGGGCTGTGCTCTTTCAACCAATGTAGGAACTCGTGTTCACGCACCTTTCTGAGAGCCCCGCGGGGACAGAGCCGGTCGGCGGGTCACTGACGGCGGTAGGCTCGGCCGGCCTGATGAGCAGGCGTGTTCTCACGTGTGTGGGCCGTGGGTGTGGAGCGGCAGGCGCAGTGGGAGGCTGCAGGCCCGTTTCCCAGGCACCCCCCTGCTGGGTCTGACCCCCGATGCCGCGCGCACCCTCCCATTCCCTCTGCACCCGCCCGCGCCCCGCGCAGCCTGACTGGCGCCCCCGTGTCGCACGCAGTGCTACAAGAGCTCCAAGGACCAGCAGCCGCAGATGGAGCTGCCCCTCCCGGGCTGCAGCATCACCTACACCCCGAAGGATGGCAAGAAGAAGAAGCACGAGTTGAAAATCGCTCAGCAGGGCACGGACCCCCTGGTTCTTGCGGTCCAGAGCAAGGAGCAGGCCGAGCAGTGGCTGAAGGTGAGCTGTCGCCGCGGTTCGGGGATCTGCTGCTGCGGTAATTTGTACTTTTTCAAGCACAGGCAAACGTCGGTTAACCGGAATAGTTTGGTCTCGGATCAGTGGTGGTTCTGATTCTTTTCAGAGTAATCACTTTACCTCATCTTCAAAAGACAAGCTGGTCCCCATTTGCAGGCCGCTTCTAGAACTTTCTTTCTTACTTTGCTTTTCTAGTTTCATTTTATTGTGTCTGGATATAGGCTCTTATTTTATTTATTCTGCTTGGGATTCCTTAGGCTTCTGAAATCACTGGCTTGTTGTCTTTCTAGGTTTCAGAAAAATTTTCAGCCATTTCTCCTAAAATATACCTTTACATGCTTTCCTCCCCTCCCCCAAATACATTTAAATCTATGTTAGACTTTTTCAGTATATTATACTTATCTTCTCTTCATATTTACTGTCCTCCTTTAAAAAAGATTTTTTAGTCTGGGTAACTTTTTGTTACTTTCCAGCTTATTCTTTTTCTTGTTAGCTGTGTCTGATCTGCTGTGAACTTTGTTCCTGTTCAATATGTCCTTAGTTTTGGTAGGGTGGTTTTTAATTTTAGGGTTTCGGTTGTTTTATTAGGAATGTGCTTGACGCTTTTTTTTAATTCTTTTTTAAAAGATTTTATTTATTTTGAGAGAAAAGGGAAGGCAGGGAGAGAAACAGGGAGAGAAACATCAATGTGTGTGCCTCTCGCAGGCCCCCTGTTGGGGACCTGGCTTGCAACCCAGGCATGTGCTCTGCCTGGAAATCAAACCAGCGACCCTTTGGTTCTCAGGCCGACGCTCAGTCCACTGAGCCACACCAGCCAGGGCGTTTGCTTGACTTTTTCTCTCTCTCCCAGGCACACAGCAGGCCTGGGTGTTTGGGCCGTGGTTCTGGTGGAGTTCGCTGGACCCTCCTCTCTCTGTCATTGCGCTTGTTCTTGTGTCCGTCCGCCCGTCTCCTGTGCCCCCACGCGCTCTGATGATCACGCTGGCCATTCTGTTTGGAAAAGAATCATTTCAGTAACTTTTCGTAACAGCTTTATTGAGGTGTAACTCACAGACCATACAATTCACCCTGTGAAAGTGATTCACTGGTCTTTAGTGTATTCAGAGTTGTGCAACTGCCTCCATTAATCTAATTTCTGGACAGCTCGTCACCGAGAGCAAATCCCTACTCCTCCTGCTGACAGCCAGCGCCCCACCCCTGGCCCCACCCCAGCTCCAGGCAACCGCCGCCTCCTGTCCCTGTAGGTTTGCCTGGTCAGCATTTCCTACAGATGCCCTCACGCAGCACATCCCGTGTGCCCGGCTTCCCTCACGTACGGCCCTGTTCCAAGGCCCCTCCAGGCTATAGCGTGCATCCGCACTTCATCCCTCCACGCTGCTGTGTGTGTGTCGGGGCTGGGGGTCTATCGTGTAGCCCGTGGGCTTAAGAGTCACACCTGGGTTTTCTTCTAATACCTTTACATAGTGTTCGCTCTTACATTCGGACTGTGATCCTTCTTTTATCAATACAAACTGCTGGCATCCCATGTTGTCATAAACACATTATCAGGCTATTAATATCTGAGATGCAGCTTCAGCGTGGCCGTTAGGTCTCTTCAGAGTAAGGCGCCAGGCCCCGGGCAGGCACGAGAGCGGAGGGCTAGTCAGCCGGGGCGCGGCGCGGCTCGCCCTCCTGCCCGCGGCGTGCTGAGCATTTCTCGCCTTCGGTCTGCAACTCCTGTCACCAGCAGCTCTTGCCAGGGTTAACTGGCTCTGCGTGTGTGCGCACAGATGCCAAAAGCATGAGCCGCTTTGTCGGGGTCAGTGAGAAGACAAGAGCCAGCATTCCCAGAAACGAAGGGGTCAGGTTTCCATAAAAATGTGCGGAGATTGTGTGTCTGGGGAGGAGGGCTCAAATTAAAAGCAAACAAAGCACCACAGAACATGTAACAATCTGTTTTTTGAAGGATTTGTGATTCTGAATTGGATTCGACTCTCTTAAATATGTATTGAACTTCTCACAGGGTACAGCTCTTTAAGATGAAATCAATAGTGCAGAAACCTCATCTGTAGCTGCTCAGCTCGTTTGGGCAATAAACCCTTCATTACACCCTAATTAACTCTGCAGGGAGCACATGGCCCTGAACAGAGACCGGAGCAGAAGGCTCCAGGCCGCTCTCCGTGCTGGGATGGGACTGCCGTTCCGTCGGGGAAAGGACAAGCCGTCTGGCGATGCGGGTGCACCAGTGCCCCTGACCTGGCCGGCGCGCCTGGGTCTGCTCGGGCCCCTGAGCGCCGCGCGCCGCGGGAGGAGCCACTGCGCTGCACCGGGGCGGAAGTGGCAGCAGGGGGGACCCCAATGGCGTGATTCAAACCCACAGATGTCGGGGCGGGTTCCCCAGGGACAGAGCGTCTGTCAGGGAGCTGCGACGGCTCAGGAAGCGGACCTGGTGACTTCAGTGACGGCTCAGGTCCCTGAACCGTTGCTGGCCATCCGGACTCAATGGGAAACGGGCGAGAGCCATGGGGACGGCCCAGTGGCCAGGCGCGAGTGCTGTCCCTGCATCGGGACAGCCAGGGTGGGCTGTGTGGGTGCTGCAGGCCCCTCCCCGCTTTTAAAAATGTTGTTTCCCTGAGGATTTCAGAAATCTGTGCAGAGGACTGGGGAAGGTTGTCATGAGGAGTTACGTATTTTATGTGACGGCCAGCTGTCTTTCCTTCTGCTTTTTAATTCATTCTTTTTCCCCCCCATAGAGAATTTCAAGTCCAATTTATTTCTTCATTTCCTTTCTTTTCCCTTTAATCAAACTATTTTTTTAGTTGTTCTTACATACTAGACATTGGGAATACCCACATGAGAAAGCGTGGCCCTTGTATGAAAATGAGCACAGCTTTACAGAAGGAACAGACCTGTAAATATGCGACACGCCCGGGACCAGTGTCTGACGGGGGGCCTGGCTGTGGCACGTAGAGGGGCAGCTGTCCCGCCTCCTGACGTGGGCGGTCAGCACGGACTTCCTGGTCACGTGAGACCCAGGCCGAGTCTTGAAGGAGAAGTCCTGTTTAGCCAAGAGAAAAAGCACATGACCTCCAAAGCCGCCACCCGCAGGACCGCACGCCTGTGTCTGGTGGGAGCGGTGCGGCCAGAGGGCTGTGTGTGTCCTCCCACTGAGGCAGCGAGGCGGGGGGTGGCGTGGCCACAGACAGGGCCCTGCAGGGTGCCTTTGCGGGGTCAGCCTTTCCGAGCAAAACAAAGAACTCTGAACTTCAGGGTTGATTAGCTCGTGGAACATTTTCATTTAATGCTGTAATCGTAGGAAGAGAGCTCAGGCTCCGGGATAAGGACTTGGCTGGACACTTCACAGCCACTCCATCGCTGTGGGTCACAGAGAGCCCCGGGCATTCTCGCCTGTCTTCTGGAAGGGGGGGTAAGGCTCGAAGGCCAGGCTGCTCCGTGTCCCAGATGGAGGGAGGGGCAGAAGCAGGGCCCAGACCCCGGTTCCGTCTGACCCAGACGCCCAGGAGTCCCCGCGCGATGCGGTACACTTTTCCCAGAGGCTTTAGAGGCAATAAAAGTTTGCCTTCTGCACCAAAGACGTGATGAACACATTGGGGTGGTCAAGGAGTTAAAAACAACAAAAACAACAACAAAAACCCTGCTAGAAAAAGTAGTAAAATCAGCATGAAACAGAGAAACTGAGCAAGACGCCCCTGGGCTGAGGCCGCACTCACCGTCAGCAAGGACAGCACCACGGCAGCAAGCCGTCCGGGTTGTTTCTTTTCTTTTTGTCTGTTTTGGCCTCCAATGTGGACATGGCTCCATCTTTTCAGAGAACAGCTGAGCAGCAAGGTGGCTGGAGACGCAGGCCCAGCTGGTGAGTCCCTGGCCCAGTCCCGACCCAGTGCAGGCCAGCGAACTTGGGTGTGGCCTGGAGGTCGTGTTGCGAAATCACTGCACAGATATCTGCACTTGGGCGTTGTGGTTTTTTCCCCCTGCTCAGAAGGCACTTGGGTTTAACTCAGATTGCAGCTTAGCTCCCCAAAACATAGAAGACATTCTGAAAGATTTGCCTGCTAACTTGTCTGTTAGAAGAGTGTGGGTTCCACCGAGCCGGGAACCTTGTCTTTCTGACTGACGGAGGGTCCCCAGGCATCAGAGCCACTCGCAGCTCCCTGTGGGTGCTCAGGGACAGGAGAAGGACAGTGGGTGACTGTGGGCGGCTGTGAGCACCAGTGGCGCTGGCCGCCGACCCCTGTGTGTAAGCCTAGGCCAGGGTCGCCCTCCGCCCCCTCTGCCCAGACCACGGGATGCTCGCCTAGGCTGTGTCCGGGATGACAGCAGCCGCCGGGTTTTCACTGTACACACGCCAGGTGCTGGAGGAAGCTTTTTTCAGGGAGGGTCCCATTGTCTCTTAATGAAACCAAAGATAAATAGCAAGATGGGTCATCTTGACCCTCTTTCCTTTGCTGGGGAGGAAACCAAGGCTCAGAGGGGGTATGACTTGCAGCCAGTAACTGATGTTCCCCGCCTCACATGTCGCTGAGAAACCAGAACCGGTCTGACGGGAGCGTTCTGACTCCCGGCACCGAACACGCTGGCCTCGCGTCCTCCAGCTTGTCCGGAGGCCGTGCTGCCCTCCAGGCTCAGCGTGCTTCTCGCCTCCTCCCGGGGCGCCCCCTCTAGTCCCCTCCCTACATAGAGACTGCTGGGAGGTCCCCATGCTGGGCTCTCTCTCCCAGCTCTCTCCCTCCTCCTCCCCGCTCCTGGGAGGCCTGCTGTCTAGGTTTGCCCCCAGCCCCCTTGTCCCTTCCGGCTGTCCTTTCCCTCGCAGACTTCCACCAGCCTCCTCTGTTGGCTCCGCCCCACGTGCTGACCGGCTCTGGGGCTTTCTCCGGGACCCTTGGTCTCTGCCTGGTCTCGCCCTCCCATCCAGACCTTTTGCCACCAACTCCCTAGTTTATCCCTAACCCCACCCAGAAGTTCCCACCTGCAAACATGCCGGCCCAGCCCCTCTTCCACCCATCCTGCTCCTCTGTCTCCTCCAGCCGAGTCAGCGGGATCCGGGAGCTGTCCTGACTCGGCCCCTTCCCTCACGCCCCACGTCTAACCCGTCTGCAGGACCTGCCGAGCCTTCCTCCGGATCTCGCCCTGAACCCCTTCCCTCCGCTCTGTCGCTGCCACGGTCCCTCCCGTCCACCTGCCGCCTTCTTGTGTGCGGCGACCTCCAGCACTGGCCCCTCACTCACTCTCCTGTCCTTGTTTTTCTGGCACCTTGTCATTCTTTCTTCCCACAATGACAAGAGGGCCCTCCACCACCTGAGGATACTAGAAAGTTCATTCTGGCTGAGGCACCGTCTCGCGGCACTTGCTGCATCTGCACTTCTCAGCTGGGGGAGCTGAAGCCCCGGGCAGCCCCTTAGGTTGCGCAGGGTGAGTGCCAGGCGAGCCTGGCTTCTGGGGCCTGCTGCCGCTTCCGGACGGGCGAGGCGCCGTCCCGTCCCTGGAGGGCTCCCAGGCTTCTCCTGCGCTGAGTCCGACTCCGCTCTCCTCGCAGCCCAGAGGCCCTGTGTGACCTGGCTGCTCCTGGCCACTCCTGCCCCAGCTCCTGCCCCATGGCCCTGTGGGTTGTCCCTGAACTCCGCACGCCGCCGCAGGCCTTTGTACCTGCCGTCCCCGGCGCCCGGAACCCTTGCCACCAGTTCTTCACGGGCCGGATCCTGGCCATTTGGCCCATGCCGGCCTCTCTTGGGCTCCTTCTCTGCATCGGCCACGCCTGCTGGGTAAAGGCCACTCGTTCTTGGGAGCCCTCCCCGCGGTCTTACACCCCGCATTGTGGGCCGCGCTCACTGTGCGCGTGACCCTCAGTCTCCGGGACTGTCGCCCTGCAAGAGCAGGGCCCACTCGCACTCGTTGTTCCCCTCACACCCCAAAACCTGCGTCCGCACCAGGCGCAGACGGACCTCGGTGAGCGGGTGCCTGTGCGAACGACGGGTGCCCAGCGCCCGCGGCCTCTGGCTGCACCGTGTGCTCCATTCATCTCAAGCTCCAACCCCTCACCTAAGTGTTTCTGCCTTTGGACACACTCAAAAATGTCACCCTTGTTGCAGGTGATCAAAGAAGTCTACAGCGGCTGCAGTGGGCCCGTGGATTCTGAGTGCCCGCCCCCATCAAGCTCGCCTGTGCACAAGGTAGAGCTGGAGAAGGTAAGGGCGTGTTCTCCCCAGGACTCGAGGCCTCCCCTCAGGCCTCGGCTACGTTCCCCGAGGCTTCCGGCCCTTCCAGTGAGACGGGGAAAGGAGACAGCCTGCTTCCTGTGCGTTGCAATGGCCCGCTCGCTCAGTGCGAGGCCTGAGTTGGCCGTTTTATGGACTGTGGTGGCCTTGTTCGTCCCAGTTCTAGACAGAGAAGTGGATTAAAGGTGTCGAGGGCCTTCAAGGTCACCTAGCTATTCTGTGGCAGAGCGGAATCTGTGCACTTCAGGAAACCAGCAGACACCGCAGACGTGTACCCTGCAACCTACGCGTTCCCTGGCCCTCGCTGCCCTGAACACATTGTCTTTGTGGGAAGGCCCAGCGAGGGCCCAGCAGTGGGGGGCGGGGCCTAGCCCTCCTCGTCAGAAAGGTGTGAACCTGTCCCTGGCATGCCACACGCCCAGCTCTCTGACTTTCTGTCCCTGCGCAGATATCGCTTCTGTGGAGGCCCCTGGCTCCCTCCATGCAGTGGTCTGCACGTAGCGGAGTCCCAGGGCGTCCCGAGTCCTGCCTGAGTGGCCCTGCCTGGGACCAGATCCTTCTTGTCCTTTCCTGTTTCAGTCAAGGCTCCCCAGAGAAACAGGACCAACCAGGGGTGTGTGTGTGTTTAGGTATGATTGCCATCAGGAACTTTTTACCGAAGACTTATAAGGAGGAACTGGCTCACGGGGTTACAGAGGGCAGCAGGTCTAACGCCTGCGGCGCAGGCCAGCGGCTGGCGTCTGAGGGCCCTCTGAGGAGAGTTCGCGCGGCCCACCGCGCTGGGGCGCACAGTCCACCCTACTCAGAGCTCCCTGCCGAAGGGCTAGTCCCATCCAAAACACCCTCCTGGATGACACGTGAACTCGCCTCGCAACCCTTGCCCTGGTATCGCAGGCCTGTTTCTGTGCGTGCGTGCGTGCATGCGTGCGTGTGTGTGCATGATGACTAAACTGACACCCACTCGCTGTAGAAAACTGAGAAAGTTCAGAGAAACACAGAGAGGAGGAGGGAGGTCACGTGTGAGCCCACCGCACGGAGGACGCAGCTCCTCTCCGCGCCGCGCGTTTCCCCGGCCTCTCCTGTCCGTATGCTGCTTCTGTAATTTGGGTGACCTTGTGAAAACTTCATACTGCCTTTTTTCCACTTCTCTTTATATTTTTGCCAATTTTCCAGGCTCTTGAAAACTTGTAACAAGCAAGTGTTTCTGCATTTTTAGCAGCTGAATAATACGAAGTACATGACTCTGCTATTATATTACTCCTACTTCCAAATCAAGCTCTTATTTTATTTTTGGCCATTTACTTTATTAATTTTTAAATTGATTTTATAGAGAGACACATTCACGTTGATTTGTTGTTCCCCTTCTTTATGCGTTCATTGCACAAGGAAGCCGTTGATTCTTGCATGTGCCCTGACCAGGGATTGAACCCACAACCTTGGTGTGTTGGGATGATGCTCTACTTGGCCAGGGCTCTTTTTGGCCATTTAAAATAACATGGCATCTTTTTGTCAGTCTTTGCTGCTTCTCTGTTACCTGAGAATAGACTCCTGGATACTGGACTACCAGACCAAAGCGTACAATTGTTTTCTAAGATTCGGATTCATGTTGCTAATCAAATTGCTCTCCAAAAAGGCTGGTCCGGTTTCACTTCCCATCAGCAGTGCATCAGAGTTTCTCCCTCGCCCACTCACACGGGGCCTGGTGGCTGTCCCTCACTTATCTCGGTTTCTGCGGCTGTCCTGTTTCTGGCCAGACCTGCTGACCTGGTTCCCAGGAGCCCGTCCCCGCTGAGAGCTGGGCAGCACCAGCTTGCAGACACTCTGTCACTGGAACTTGGCACGCACCCGGTTCCCACAGAATGCCGCTCATTTTTCCACCGTGCTGTTCCCAGCGCTGCCGCAGGGCCACGGACACCTGGCCGCCACCCTCGGCCAGCGCAGCCTGGCCCTGTCGCCGAGTGGGGCCTGCGTGCTGCCCTGCGCCCCGGCACGTCTCTGTGGCACTGCGGGGCAATGCAGGGGGTCTCGGGGGTGTCTGGGGCCTGTGCCCCCGCAGTGACCCCACGGGCTCTCTGCTGGGAATGGAAGGAAGCATTCCAGCTCTCAATGATGTCTCTTCCTTTTTTTTTTTTAATTTTTACTGAATTTATTTATTGGGGTGACATTAGTTAGTAAATTACATAGGTTTCAAGAGTGCGGTTCTATAACACAACCTCTGTAGGTTGTGTTGTGTGGTCACCACCCCAAGTCAGTCTCTTCCAGCACCACGTACCCCCCCTTCACCCTCTCCCACCGCCCCCAACAACGCCTCTTCTTCAGGCCCCGCCTCAGAGCCCTAACGGCGCTCCCGACGCCCAGTGCGGGGCGCGTGACCGTGAGCACCCTGGTGCCCGAGGCGGCTTTGCTGGTGGCCTGGCTCAGTGTGTGCTCCGAGCACCGCTGTCGCAAGCTGCACCCGACACTCGCCCTGTTACTCACAGGAGGAAAGTGAATGGACGACGGGTACTTACCCCTAGGAGCAGAGCAGAGCATGGTTGGGTGAGGGGCGTGGTTTTTGTAATCCTAATATTTTTTCAAATGATTTATGAGAAAAAGGGAATCAAATGACATTGTCATGGCAGCGGAGCCCGTGTTGGTGCAACCTCGGCAGGTCTGTCTTTGTTCTTGTGGCGTTTTTCACGCTTTCGCTGACAAGCCGCCACCGGTCCGCACTATCGCTCCGAGCCCCGGCAACCCCTGCGTTGCCGTGAATTTGGCCCGCGTTTTCTTTCAGCTTTGAGATAAATTATGAGTGATCCCTGATACAATAGATCACTTGGCCAGCGTGACCGTTGTGAGAATAACTGCATCCTTTTTATCGTCACAGAAACTGTCCTCAGAGAGACCGAGCTCTGATGGGGAGGGTGTCACAGAAAATGGAGTCGCTGTGTGTGACGGGAAAGAACAAGGTGAGCTCTGCTCGTGCCAGAGGGCGTGAACCACAGATGGAAAGCCGAACACCGGAGCCTGGCAGCCGGCCGCAGGGACCCCGCTGGCTGAGAGCCTTGCTCGGAGGCTCGGTGCTCGGAGGCTCGGTGCGCGGAGGCCGGGTCCTGCGTCCCGTGATGGAAAGCCCGGGTCCCCTCCGCGTCTTGGTCGGCTGTCCCAGCGGACTGAGTCCTGACAGGCGCCGTGCGCGCTTAAACTGTGCTTGCAGCAGGCACCGCCTCGCCTGCGTTAGCCCGGGCACGGACCAGCGGAGGCGCCCCAGGTGTGGGTGCCACACAGCCAGCACATCCTTCACCCCTGAGGGGCAGCTGGCTCGTCAGCAGCCCTGCGCCACGGGAAGCGAAGCTGTTGTGGCGTCGCAGTCAGGATTTTGCCTGAGCACGTGTTAGTCCCTCCTGGTTAATACCGAGGAGTGGGGTTCCCCGGTCACTCGCACCCTCCCCAGCCTGGGTGTTGCCCCTCTGTGCTGTGTCGTTCTTTGTGTTTGGCCTTTGAATAGTGGCGCGGTGCTGTGTGACTGCGGCCGTGGCTTGCCTGTGCCCCGTGACTGATACGCTGCCCATGTCATGATGGGCTTGTTTGCCGTCCAGGCACCCTCTTTGGTGAAGTGTCTATTCACATCTTTAGCCTATGTTTTTACTGAGTTGTTTGTTCTTATTATTGACTCTGAGAGTTTTGTCTTCTGAATACAAGTTTCTTAGGAGATGTGATTTGCACGTCATTTCCTCCCCAGTTGGTGGGCTGGGCTGAGAGGGGGGTGGGATCTGGAGCGGAGGACAAGGAAGTGTCCCCACCGAAGGCCCGCAGCCCCGGTGCCTGCCCCTGTGGCCTCAGCCGCCCCGGCGGGCACTGGCACTGGAGTGGGAGGGGCGCCCCCCAGCTCCAGTGGGAAGCCACACTACACCAGACAGCAACCCAGGCCACTCAGGCTCTTGGAACCCAAGTGACTTGAGCCACTGTGGTGGTGCGAGGCCCGAGCCTGGAGGCCATGACCTTGGCTCCCGGTCATGCGAGTTCCCACTCAGGCGCGTATGAGTACAGCGTCAGTCCCGGGGGAAGGGACTCGGGGGCGAGGCTTCATCCCCCGTCCGCAGGGCTCATCACGTGCCGTCGAGCCAGGACAGTAGCCTTTAAGGCTCGCCCTGGGGGAGAATAGCATGGCTCTCAGGGCCCCTGCCGGAGCCGGGGCGGCCCCGCTGGGCTGTCTCGTCCCTGTGCAACGAGCTTCTACGGAACGAACGCCTGTCTCGGTGTACGTGTCAGTGAATACACCCAGGCCTCAGATCCTCCTGGTTGGCTTTGTTTGTTTGTCTGTCTGTCTTAAAGGAGAGCAGCCTTCTGTGCTTTGTAAAAGTGACCTCGGTTCAAATAATTGTTTTGCCTGGTACAGCGCTTTGTATATGGCAGACATGCCATAAATAATTCCTGCAGGAAGTTAGTAGTTAAAACACATCCTGACCTTCACTCTGTGTGCCTCACTCCTGACAACTTGCCACGGAGAGGTTTCAGCGAAAGTCCCTTTATCCCAGCCGTGTCGTGACCCAGACAGAGAAAATGCTGGACTCAGACAGCAGCTCCTAAACGCCCGTCTCCAAGACGGACGTGGAAGCCGTCCAGGCCCCCTGAGGTCAGAGCCACAGGGCACGACGTAGAGCTCCCGCCTCTGCTTTCCGGGGGGCGGCGGGCCCAGTGCGCAGTGAGCTAGGGCGATGGGGTCCACGGTGGATTAGTGAACATCCTGCCGCCCCTGCTGTGATGGGAGAGACGGGAGCGAGGGCTTGGCGCCACTCCACGCTGAGGCCTTGCCTGCCCCCAGTGAGCGCCGCACATGTGTAAGACGCAACCGTGTGTTCTGGCGCTGTCGGTGGACTTGCTGTGTACATACTCCGACCCTGCTAACCATGTCCCCGAAGGCTGGCATAGAGCAGGTGCTCAGTAAGGAAAGGTGGGCGAGAGAGGCGTGGCTATGACTTATGTTTGTCTGAATGTCTTTCCAACCTAAGCTCTAGAATTAAACTTTTTTGTTGTTGTCATTATTCTCGACAGTTAAGAGGAAAAAAAGTTCCAAATCAGAGGGCAAGGGGACCGTATCTAAAGTGACTGGGAAAAAAATCACCAAGATCATCGGTCTGGGAAAGAAAAAGCCATCCACTGACGAGCAGACCTCGTCCGCTGAGGAGGACGTGCCCACGTGCGGTAAGTGGGGGCCGCCCCGCGTGAGCGAGGCGCTGGCGTCGGCCCTGGGGCTGCCCCGGGGCCCCAGCGCTTCAGGCCCTTTCGTGTGGGCTTTTCTGAATCCGGCTTGTGACCATTTGCTTTGGGGAAATGTTTTACGTTTTTACCACTTACTAATAAAAAGAAAAACTTTGTGGGGCCTTGAGATGATCGCTGAAGCTCTTTCAAGAGGAAAAACAAATTCTCTCTCTGATCCCATGAAGGGCTGCAGGATCCCTTTAAGTGTCTTCCGGCAGGAACGCGCGCGGGCTGCTGGCCTGCCGGGGGTGTGCGCCACGGCCGGGCACTTAGGGAGCTAAGGCCGGTTCTTTCCCTCCGCGGAAGTAATGAACCCAGGCTTTCTTGTAACACTCCGTGTCCCAAACTCACGTTTCAAGCTCAGTCCAACCGACTGACTCCCGCATCAGCTCTTCATCCGCTGAGCATTTCTGAGCGGCTGCCACCTGTCAGGATGGGTTGGCATGTGGTATGCGGTGGCGGCCACGGCGGCCCGGCCCCGCAGCGCCCCCGTCAGGTAGCAAAAGCCAGGCCCGGAGCATGTGGTGGCAGGTGCGAACGAACTCCGATCCCCAGTGTGAGGGGGCACAGAAGAGGCAACGAGGCCGTCTGCGGGCATTGTGTACGTGATGTTCCCTAGCAACCAAGCTTGAAGAACCCGGCAGCTCTTTTAAGGGAGAAAATCTTCAGAGGCTGAGTGACAGATATTTGCCCTTTTTACAAAGTTAGGGCTGGGTGGTAATTTTCCTCACAGACTGTGGCCGCCTTGCTGAAATCAAACCTGAGGGGACAGGGTGAGACCGTGGGGGAGTGGGACCCAGGGCCACGTCCCCCTGGCCGCGGCCTGTCGGAGCTGCGCAGCACAGGCCCTGTGGGGCGGTCGCCTCTTGCACTCACCCTGGAGAGCAGGCAGCTGTTAGGGGTTAAAAATAGAAAGAGGGAATTATCCACCAAAGAGTGACAATGTTCTTAGCTTTGGTTTTTAACCTGCTGTAGGTCAGCGGAGCCAATAGCAGCCCTTCTGTGAAAAACCACCCATCACAGGGAGGGCAGCCTAGAGACCGTGGCCCAGACCCCGTGTCACAGACGACCACGCTGAGCCCCGAAAGGCGTGTGGCTTCCGGGGTCCCGCGGCCAGCTGGGGGCGGAGCCAGGCCCGCCGGCCCAAGCCTGCCGACTCCCTGTGGCCGCAGCCTTCTCCGTCTCCCTTAGTGTCCCCAAAAGGTACCCTCCCAGCCCCTAACGGGCAGCCTCATGGTGCCGGGCAGCCACGGACAGAGGCATTCTCCGCGTTGGGCGTGGAGGCAGGGGTCTCAGCACGGGTGCCTGTTGGAGGGCACGTGCCAAAGGTGGGAGGAGAGGTGCTTTGGGGTCGGCAGGACCAGGACCGGTTGGTGGTGGCACCTGGACGTTTTGTCCCTTCCACCCCCCGCCCTCTCATGGCGCCACTGCTGCTGCTCTGGGGCCCCTTTCCAGGGCCGGCTGCTCAGCTGACTCTACACCATCACCTGCTGGGGTGGACCCCACAGTGACACTAGGATGAAAGTCCTCTTGGAAGCATGGCCAAAGCACAGTGGCCTCTCAGTAGATGGCACCGTTTCCGTCCTCGCAAGAAGGAAGTGGCAGACGCCCAGCCCTCTCCCTCCAGGCGGCCAGCTGCCCTCCCACAGCTGCTCTGGATCTCGGGGAGCCCGGGGGGCCCAGTGTCCCCACAGCCGAGCGTAGGAGCGCCAGTGTCTGTTCCCCTCCTTCTGTGTTTTTGATCTTTGGATCTCAGTCCTATGAAGGTACTTCTGTATTTGTAATGAAACCTCGTGTACTCTGGCCACGGTTTTGCAAGAAAACCCGAGTTCTGTAGAATTTGAAGGGAAAAAAAAAATCTCAACAAATTTAACTGAAATTCCCAAGTTGTTGAGGGAAGTGCGACACAGGGAGGACCCGGGGGGCCCGTGACACTGGTCGGTTCTTGCTGGAGGGCCGCGCTGCGGCTGCCCTGGTGGCAGGGGCACCAACGAGACGGCCCGCCCCCTTCTGCCAGCCCACTGACTCCGGGACCGGGAGAGCGTGAGGGGTGTGGGGACCGACCCCCAGCTGCACGTCCTCAGAGGGGTCCTCCGTACTCCCTGGGAGGCCTCCGTCCCTGTGCCCCCGCCCAGCAAGCAGGGGCGTCAGGCCGCTCGTGTGTGCAGAGTACAGCGGCGGGTACCGGGCAGGGAGGCCGCCGCCGCCGCGTGTGAGTGGCCCTCGTGCTGGCCGTGAGCAAACCCAAGGGAGGCACCCAAGTGTGCTGGCTTCGCAGGAAGCCGTGGTCTGCGTAGACGGGAGTCTGTGCAGCAGGACCGTTCCCTTTGTGACTCAAATGTCGAGAAATTCATAGTGTTTGGTGGCTGGTGGCCAGGTTCTGTCAGGGAAGAAGATACCACAAGAGAGCCCTCCCTGCTCAGCAGAGCTGGCTGCCCCCAGAAAACGCTGTCCCCTGCACTGAGGACACCGTGTGGTGAACTCTGAGACTGCCACTCAGCAGGCAGGTCGCCTCGGGCCTCCTCTCAAGGCGTCAGTTCCTCTGTGAACACAGAACCTTGCATGTCCCCATCAGGATTCCGTCAGCTCCTGCATCGAGGCCGGTCCCTACGGCAGCCCGGGGTTTGCTGGGCCCCGGTGCCTGGTCATTTCAAGTGTCAGCCTCTCGCGCTCCCTCCCCCGCCAGGCCTCCGTCCTCCCGGCTGGAGGAGGCCCCGCCCCTCAAGGCCCCTGAGCCTCTCAGCCCCAGGGCACGGCGGCTCCCCGCCCGCCTGACCGTAGCCGGGCAGTGCTCTCCGGCACAGGGCTTCCTCGTGACCTGTGTCCTCAGTGTTGACCTCGTGTGCCCCTGCCAGTTCAGGTGCCCGAGAGCAGCCTGAGTCCTCCGATCTCTTCCTGTTAATCGTCACCGTGTTATTCAGGCCCACAGGACACTGACAGGGGTGCAATTTGTGTCATTTCACAAAAACGTGGGCACCCAGCATGACTCACTGCTGAGAGGTGGCACCACAGCCATAGCACGGCCGCGTCTGACAGCCGTCACTAGGTGTTCAGACATTACAGCTGACTGCGGGGTTTCATGTAGCACTTTCTCTTCTTTTGAGAACAAACGTGTCAGACGCATGTCACTTACAAATAGTATTTTGCAGTATAAAACCACTGTATAAGGGCCAGGGCTGGAGCCAGAAGAGCAGCCCTCTGCCTGCCATCGTTAGTGATCAAGGGGGCTGCAGGCCAGGCCTGGCCTCACCGGGGCCTGGGGCACCGCACTGGCCTTGCCCAGATGAGCGCCTGCCCTCGGAATGAGCCCTGAGGCCTTAACTGGCTCCTGCGGCCTCGCTCCACCTCCCTGAGGACCCTCCTGAGTGGGCTCGCCTCCCCACTTGCTCTGTCGTTTTACGGCGCACAGCCCCCACTGAAGTTTGAGTTCCAGAAAACTGGGCACGTGCCTGTGGTTGAGGGCGTACCAGTGGGACCGATGCCACAGGCAGCCAGAGGATAATCTGGACTAAGTGCTCCCCTAGGAAGTCCACCGAGCAGACATGCATGTGTGGCACACGGAGCGTCATGCTGGGCCCTGTAACATACCTGTTGGTTTGGGGTTTCGTTTTGTTATGTTTTTTTTTCTTTATAGCATTTATCCTTTGCTAATAAAGTCTGTAAGACTTAGAACATAAAAGAAGCAAAAACCATCTTCCAAAACTCTTTTGGGAAAGTCTTTTTTAAAACTCAGGCTTGGGAAGCACTCGGTTTGCTTTGTTTTGAGCCGTGAGTGCCCGCCTGTGACTGGCAGGAGTAGCTGAGTGACGCAGGGACCCTTGCTTTACGTCTCCTGCTTTGACTGCATTTCTTCTGCTGTTGAATTCACTTCCGCATCCAAAAGGAAGGGGCGGTAACTTCCCAGCATCGTGGAGCGGTTAGAAATCGCAGCCCCCCACGACATCTATTTTTCATGCCTGTTATTCTAGTGAAGGCCATCAGCGTTTTGTATTTGAAGAGTTTTCTTAAAAGAGGGCCACTGCTTCCTGGGACTTCATTGCTTGTGGAGATGTAAGGACACAGGGACATCCTAACATGTATGTCCTTACATCTCCACGTCTGCAACAGCCGAGGCTCTGTGCAGCATCAGCGGCCTGAATGGCGGGCTTCCCCGCTCGCCCCGCCCGAGCCGTGAGATGGCCTTTGGGCTGCTATCTCTGCTGCAGACGGGGGCTCCAGCCAGGGGCAGCCAGGCCCCCGGGCAGGACCTCGTGCGAGGCCCTTCAGCCGTTGGCTGGAACTCCCCCAGCGCTGAGGACATGTCGCCCCCTTGGCCCCAGATTCCTGGAAAGCACCCGCGCTCAGCCCTTTCTCACGGGAAGCCACAGCATGCCCACCTCTTTTGCTCTGTGTGCCGTGCAGCTCCTCAGAGCGAATCTGAGCCCCTTTCTCAGAGTCCCTTCAGCTCTTTGAAAGCAGCCATCACACCCTCATTTCCGGACACCGGTGGCTCAGCGGCCTTGCCCATCCTCTGGCGAGCTGCGGTTCCCACAGAAACGGGGACAGTCGGGGTCCGGCTCTCTGCACGCGCCACACGCCGCGTTCCGTCGGGGGCTCCTCAGGGGACCTGGGCCGTCCCGAGAAGCCCAGAGCTTGTGAGACACTCGTCCCGCAGCTGCCGTGGCTCTTCCTGGGCGGTCGCACTTGCCTCTCGAACACGGGGGCGGGGGGTTCGTTCGGTGCCCATCCCCGCGCCGGCTCCTTCCACGAGGCCAGGGTGTCCGTGGCCGTCCCTGCCAGCAGCGCCCACCCTCCATGTCATTGCAGGCCACCTGAGCGTGCTATCCAACAACCGCTGGCGGGAGCGCTGGTGCCGGGTCAAGGACAACAAGCTCGTTCTGCACAAGGACAGGACCGACCTGAAGAGCCACATCGCCTCCATCCCTCTCCGCGGCTGCGAGGTGATCCCGGGGCTGGACTCCCGGCACCCCCTGACCTTCCGCCTGCTTCGCAACGGGCAGGAGGCGGCCGTGCTGGAGGTGGGCGCCCTCCGCCAGAATCCCGCGCTGCCGGCCACGCCGTGTTTCCCCTCCTTTCTCTCTCCCTGCGCGCTGTGTTCACCTCTGCTGCTCCTCCCCCGTGGCCCCTTCCCTGAGGGTGCTGGAGGCCAGCAGCGCTGAGCCCCTTTCTGCTAAGTTTAGTGCAAACCAGGCTTCTCTGCCAAGGAACCTCCTCGTGCCACTCCCTCCACCCGTGTTTGCCGGATTGCGGAAGCTTGCTGAGAGCAGCCGGGCAGTAACTTGCCCTCGTACTCCCAGTGGCCCTGTGCTCCCCGGATGATGGCGGCCCACCTAGACCCGGTGGTGTGTCCTCCACACACCCGTCGGGGGCTGTGACACCGCACAGACAGGGCAGGCGCTCTCCGACGGCCGTGGCCAGTGAGCCACGGCTGGGGAAGCCAGCTTGGCCTTCGGGAGCCCTGGCTGCCTGTGCGACTCGTTATGCCGCTGGCTGCCTTTGTAGACCGTGCTCTCGGAGGCAGCAAAGGCAATTAGGGTGAATTTCTCAGCAATCTACTTCTAATTTTCATCTCACATTATTTTCTACCCCGCATTAACAGACCTCTCCCGCTTTGTCTTTCCTGCGCTCGCATTCTCCCCGCAAAGACTCAGACGCACACACAGACAGGCGCTTCCGGGCCCACCCCACGCAGGCCGGCGGCGGGGCTTCCGCAGCCCCCACGAGCCCGGAGAGCTGAGGCATCCGGACGGGGGTCTGCTCGGGTCGGTGGAGTGACCGGTGTGTTCTCACTAATCAGACAGAGAACCTGATTCTGAGTGACCGTGGTGACGCCGGTCAGTGGAGGGAACAGCCTGGCCTGGGACCAAGGTGACAGGGACCCAGCCAGTTGCCCTCCAGGGTCCTGGCAGGGGCGGGGTTCATTTCAGACGTGATTTTCACGGAAGCTGCTTTCTTGGGGCAGAGACGGTGAACAGCACGGTTCCTTCTCCTCCCCCAGGGCCCGGGGCCAGCAGCAGGGACAGCGGCCGCGCAGTCTGACCCTGCAGCGCAGGGCCCCTCAGGGAGCGGCCGGGCCGGGGCGGGCAATCTGGGTGCCAGTCCTGGGTCTGTCGCGGACTTCAACCCCGGCCAGACCTTTTCTGCCCCTCGGCGTCTTTGCTGGGCTGGGTGCAGTGTGCGGGTGAGCATTTCCGCGCTGAACCCCGCAGCGCGGGCGGTGGTGGAAGAAAGCGGGGCCCCTTCATGGGAGGGGTGCTGCTGGCATCGTGCTGCTGGCATCAGGCTGCGCGGGGCTCCAGCGGGGCGTTCACCGCTGACCCAGGAGCGGCGCAAGGGCAGGGCAGGGCAGCCCGGGTGGCACGTGCTGGTGCCCGGGGCCGAGGCGGGCAGATGCCGGAGAGGAGGGCGGGGTGGGGCGGCTTGCTGCGGAAGTCACCTGCGCCGCTGCCCCAGCACTGCAGGAGCGGGCCCACGTCCGTGAGAGGGCCGCGCTCCGTGAGCCTCCCCAGTCCAGTGCCACAGCCACACAGACCGGAAAGCCTCGCACAGCGTCCAGCATCAGCAGTTCTGAAAATGTTGTTCCTTATACTTATTTTTTCTTTGACATTCAGTTAAGTCACACATGTGATAGCTCAGTGTCCCCTAACCTTTAAACATTGTTACATAGTTGATTAATCAAATTTATGTAGACATACACCATTCTAAGTGTAATATGAATTTTCTAAATCGCAAAACAAGGATGACTTAAAGATTAATGACGTATGTCGGACTCGCAAGTTAACAAGATCAAATTGAAAGGTCTTCAGAAATAGCACACACACGCAGCCCAGTGGTTGTGAAATATTGTCACACCCACGTAAACACAACTGATACAAAAGTATTTCCTGCCCTCTGATCAACGGAAGCACCATGCATCGCAGGCCCGTGTAGGAGGCCGCGGCCAGGCCGCTGGCCGGCCACGTTCGAGACCCTGCCCCAGCCCCGCCGAGTGCGCCGCGCCTGGGGGTCTGGGCCAGGCCAGGCAGGCGCAGGGCCTTCTGCTCCGGGCCAGGTTCTGTTGCCACATTAGGAGGCCCTCTAAACAGGTTTGTTTAGCTGAGATGGAACCACTCACATTGCTTTCCCTGTCCTGGGCCTTCCGGTCCCGTCGCTGTGGGACCTCCTGCTGCAAGGCTGGCGGGGACAGCGCTGACCACACCTCCTCGCTTCACTCCTCACCCGCTTCAGGGCACTGCCTCTCCTGTCACATGGTCTCTGGTGGCACATGGTGAGCATGTTAAAACCCTTTACCCTTGATGATGTAAAAGCCACTCCCTTCTTTTCCCCACACAGGCGTCGTCTTCTGAAGACATGGGCAGGTGGATTGGGATCTTGCTGGCAGAGACGGGGTCCTCAGCAGACCCCGCGGCTCTGCACTACGACTACATAGACGTGGAGACGTCTGCGAACGTCATCCAGACAGCCAAGCAGACCTTCTGGTAAGACGCGCCAAAGGCACGAGGCCCCATTTTTGAGAAAGGAATGCAGGCTGCAGTATTGAAAAGTTATTTATTAAAAGTGTGCATGCAGGAATCTTTCCTACCTTGTTAACATCTCTAGAGATGTCAGCAACAAATCTAATATTTATGCTCTAGGTTTCTAGCTAAACATTCTTGTTAAACTTGAGAGAAGAAATTTAACAAGGAAACATTGTTCAAAATATACAATGTGATAGCTTTCCAGTGTAGTAAATGTTCCAATATTCCAAGATGAAATTTCTTTTATGCAAATTGTCAGCTAGTTAATGAATTTTCCAAGCTTATCAGGGAGCGTCTGCACATTGGCCTTCTGAGCAGGAGAGGGCAGTGATGTATTTTGGAAAGAAACAGTAAAAGAAAAAAATAGACATTTAAATTCCCCTGGGGAAAAAAGTGGTCTATTTAGGAATCTTAATATTACTAAACTGCTGAAACGTTTTCCTGAGGCCTATTTTGAAATACGATCTGTAGATTATCTGAGATGAGGGCAGTGTCCAGTATTTCCTGCTGGGGACTCTGTCCGAGCCCTGCTCAGCTGGAGGCTCCTGAGAGAGTGCTGAGGGCGAGGGCCAGCAGGGGCTCAGGGTGGACGACGAGGGGGTCGACACCAGACAGGAAGCTGTTGCCTTGCGTCCCTCCTGCTCCGAGTCCCTGGGAGGTCTCATGGGGCGCGTTTCCTGAAACCCTGGGCCAGCCTGGAGGACACCCTGCTCCGCCAGCCGGGGGTGCCCAGGAGGCTGAGTTCTGAGAGCGCCCTCAGCAGGGCAGCCAGGCAGGCAGGTCCATGGCGACAGAGAGTAGAAATGGGGGAGCGGTGACAGGGGCGGGGTGGGAGTGGGGAGTGTAACGGGGACAGAGCGTCCCTGTGAGGAGATGGGAAGCCCTGGGGGTGAAGGTGGCAAACGTGCCTGGTGCCGCCGAGCTGGATGCTGCACAGCGGTCAGGAGAGTAAGCTTCCTGCTATGCGTGCTTTGCCGCAATCTCCTTGTTTCCTGGGGCGGCCGGCGGCCGGGGGCTCACAGGCCTGCAGTCTCACATCTGCTTTCTGCTTTGGGGTCTGGCAGAGAGTGTGGTCGCGCAGTAGAGGGGCGCCAGGAGGAAGGCCTCGCCCTGGGCCTGTCGCTGTTCGGCCCGGCCCCTGTGCAGGATGAGGGGTGGATGGTGGCTGGGGCCCTTCCCCCAGGGCGTCCCGGGAGTCCATGAAGTCTCTGTCTCCTGTCCCTGAGTCAGCGATGCCCTGCCAGGGCCTTGCCACACGGGGAAGCTTCTGTCCCACCCCCTCATGGTCCTCGCCCCTTCCAGGTATCCGTGCACCAATGTGTGCGCTCGGCACAGTGCCCGGACCTGGAGACACACAGCACAGGACAGGCCCTGCTGTGAGGGACCCCGCCTGCCTGCGGGGGTGGGGGTGGGGAGACACGCAGCACATCCCTGCCAGTGTCCCTGTGTGGCGGTCGGCCCCGGGCAGGCGGTCAGTGGCCGGGGCCTTCACGCACCCGCGACCGCCTCTCACTGCGGCCGCGTGCGCACAGTGCCCTGCCCCCAAGGCCCTCACACAAGACGTGTAGGTTAGAAAGCCTTGAATCTGTACTTAGATCGGAAATCTCCTGTCACGGCCAGACTCTCACATGTGTAAATTTTTCTCTTTCCTTCTTGTATTTTTTGTTTTCCTACATACACTTTTGTGCATTCTAAATGTAGGATAATCGTATTCCTTTTTCGTCAGAAAAAAAGCCAGAGTTATTTCATAAACTGGAAAGTACCGAGGTCAGGGCCCAGCGAGGCCCGCACAGCCGCCTGCCGCCAGCAGAGGGCAGCAGCTGCGCGCTGAGAGCAGCCCCGCCGAGCTCGGGGCAGGAGGCTGCGGCTGACCCGGCCCCCGGCTCTCACTGCGGCTGTATCAGAAATCGGAGGCCGCTCCCACCGCCCGGGTACTGCCTCGCTTCTTCCACACACTGTCCTTTTTATTCATCCACATACCATACACATCCACGTGGAAATGTAAGACCCTACAAAGAAACAGAATTTGAAAACAAAATCATTTTTTAAAATTCCGACTGTTTTCATTAACCCAATGGGGAGGAGATGCTGTCGAGGTTATTTCTTCCCTGGGCAGCAGGTGTTTTGCTCACAAGCATAACTCTGTGGGTAAAGCCCTCACGGGCACACTTGCCCAGGACGCGCGGCCGTGGGGGAGGGCGCGCCATGAAGTGGGGGCTCTGGGAGTGGGCTGCCAGGCGGAGGGGACAAGGCCCTGAGGCGGGAGGATGCTGCTGAGGGACGGCCACCGCGGAGCCTGGCTGGGGACAGTCTGGGGAGAGGAAGCTGCACCCAGAGCCCCACAGGCCCCCGCAGCAGCCTGTCCTCTGAGCTGGGGGTGACGTGGCCTGTCAGGGCTCTCAGACGGTGCGGGGACAGCGGACAGAGGGCAGGGCGAGCTGCCCCGAGGTGGGGACGCTGAGTGGACACCGAGCCCAAGGAGTGCTGTGGAGTAAACACTCCAGAGAACTGAGGGCTCCGCGACCCTTCCCAGAGAAGGCCGGACAGGAAGCGTCTTCGTTCGCCGGCCGCGGGCTCTCTGGCTTGGTGGCCGGGTCCTGCAGGCGGCCGGGAGCCCCTGGAAAGCAGCCACAGGCAGCATCTGCGCGAGGGGCCACGGCTGTGCCCCAGGGAAGCGCTGCTTGCGGAGGCGGGCCATGGGCGCAGGCCCCGCGGGAGGCTGCCGACTGTGAGTGCGTGGCCCGGGCCTTGTGCCGCGTACGCGGCAGGCGCCGTGCCAGCCTTTGTCCCGCCCTGCAGGGCGGCGCTGTCCTGTTCTGTCGGCGAGGACTGTGGCCCAACGGCTGTGGCCCCTCGGGCCCTGAGGCATCTTCTCGGGCCTGGCCCTACATGTCCAGCCAGAGCCCCGGCCAAAGCCCTGGCCAGGCACAGCGACGGACGGGAGGGTTCAACTCACTCACGCCCTGTCTTTCAGCTTCATGAACAGGCGCGTCATCTCTACCAACCCGTACCTCGGGGGCACCTCCAACGGCTACGCCCACCCCAGTGGGACGGCGCTGCACTACGATGACGTCCCCTGCGTCAACGGCTCGGTGAGTGTGCGTGCCCGGCGCTCAGCGCCACGCCTGGGCCGTCGGGGGCTCGGAGGCCCGGGTTTCGGTCCAGATGTCATGAGAGTCCGTCCTGTCCCTCCTCTCCTGGTTCCTGACAGGCTGTTCGTCTCATCTGCACTTGGACACTAGGCCGCTTGACCCCAGGAGAGAGAGTCTCACTCAGCATCCAGAGTCAGGGCGGTTAACTGATTCCGGCACGTCCTAAAACCCTGACCGAAGGGTGGCCCTTGAGAGGGCGCAGCCTGGGTCTGTCAGAACGCAACACGGTGTGAGTCACCCGTGAGTCGTGATTTCCCCGTGGAACGAAAATGCTGCGCGAGCAGCATCGGAAGGAAGCGTTAAAGACAAGACTGTCAGACAGGCAGGGGACGTTCCGTGGCGCGCCGACCGCGCCTCAGGCCCACGGCCGCCTGCCTCCCAGGGGACGGGAGAACGGCCTGGGCTGGCCCCATCTGTGCGCGGCCCGTGTGTGAACAGTGGGGACGCTGGTGCCGCGTTCTGTATGAAACCGGCCTCCAGCGCCCGTGTGCTCTCGGTGTGACTAGCAGTGCTCGCCAACGAGCCTTTGTCCCTCGGGCTGGCCTGGGCCTGGCTCCGGGGCCGCCCCCGCTGAGGCCCAAGGCACAGGCTCATGGGAGAGGCCCCCTAACCACCCTGCCACTTGTCTCCAGGGACTGGGTGGGTTTTGATTGGCATCTGTGTCAACCTAGGTCTCAAAGGTAGGCAGGCATAGGGTATGTGTGTGGATAGTGATTTTTTCGAACCTTGGAAAGTGTGTTAGATTTTTTTCCTTCCGATTTTGCTAACCCATTCCTTTCTCATGGCCGGGACGGATGCCGTCTCTCAGCTCCCTCGCTCGCTGCTCCCCGTCGTCATAAAGTCCACGCCTGCCACGGCGGGGACCGCCGCCAGGCCCCCCGCCCCACATCGGGCCTGCCCGGGGCTCCTGCAGGGCGGGGGCGGGGGCGCAGTCTCTCCGCGGCTCCTGACTCAATTCTTCTCACTGCCTTCCCTTCCCTCCTCACCTCCCCCTTTGCCCCTCGGTCACCCCCTCCCCCCCTTATTCTCTGAGTGTCCAGGCTCTGCGCTAGGGACCGAAAAGACAGGGCACAAGATGCTGCCTTTGTCCTTGAAGGGCCCCCCAGCCTATCGGGGCCGAGGAAGGCGGCGGGGGGAGGAGCTGAGTGGGGCCCCAGCCTGGCACGGACCTGTCCGGTGCAGACTGAGGCGCACATCAGGCTCCATGTCGGACATGGGTGTGGGGGTGTGAGCGGGGGCTTTTGGGGACCCCAGCCTGGCGGCAAAGCCCATTAGACGGGGTCCTGCCTGAGCCCAGGGCAGTCGGGGAGGCAGGCACATCCCGTCCCGCAGAAAGGAATCACCAGGTCCTGCCGGCCTGCTGCTCGCCCTCCCCCCCCATTGCCACCACCGTCTTTCCCAGGGCATCTCCAGGGTGGAGGGGCCCCCGGGGCCCACCTGCTGCACCGCTGTGCGGGGGCTTGTGAGAGCCCTCCCGCGTGAGGAATGCCCACGGCCACGGCAGCCCGCACGGGGGCTGCTTCTCAGTGGGCCCCGGGACCTGTCCTGGCCCTGGTGCCACCTCAGCCAGGCCTGGCTCCAGGCCCCGCGTGCTCTGCCGCCGCCCGCTTCTCATGGCAGAGCCACCTCTGTCCGGCGTCCACCTCACAGCCAGCCTCCTTCAGAGGATGCACGAAGGGCCTCTGGACCCCAGAGAAGCTTTCTTGGAAAGGAAACACCCAAACTTGCTCCCGAATCTCCCTGCCCCAGCCTTTTCTTCGGGGATTTCCAGCGCCCACCTTCCACGTGGAAGTCGGAGGAGGACCCCACACCCATCCCGTCCCGTTCCTGATGCCCTGACCATGAGCAGGTGCAGGCCGTGCCCGGACGAGCTTCCTCCAGGCCCGGCATGGCCTCGTCTGCTCTGGAACAGGCCTGCTGAGCTCAGCGGGCTCGCGTTTAGGGGGCGTCCCGGTGGGTAGCTGTCTGGGTGGCATGCGCTTTCAGGGTGGAACCCCCTTGTGCGCAATGTTTGTGGCTCTTCTGCTTACTAAGGGCTTCCTGGAGGCATAAGCCTTTCTTTTCTTTTTTAAGATTTTACTTATTTACTTTTAGAGAGAGGGAAGGGAGGGAGGAAGAGAGGGAGAGAAGCATTAGTGTGTGGTTGCCTCTCGTGCGCCCCCCGCACTGGGGACCTGGCCTGCAGCCCGGGCCTGCGCGCTGCCTGGGAACTGAACTGGCAGTGCCCCGCCCATTGAGCCACACTGGCGAGGGCCACAAGCCCTTCTTCACACCAGTTCTCTGCGTGCAAGGCTGTTACCAGGCCATTGCTTATTTGGAGGGCTGCTTTTCTGTATTATAAAGTTCATACTTTTGCCCCAAAACCTCACTTTTCAGCAGCATTTCATTTTCAGTAATTCTGAGCCATTCAGCGTTGCCCCTAAAGCCTAACACGGGATGGAAGTGAATCTCAGAAAGGATCTCTGACCTGCACACGAGCGCACGCACACACACCCGTTTACTCTAGAAACTCGTGTGCAGTTTCTACGTCTGCCATGCGACTCAGCCCCGGAGTATTTTAGGAAAATGATCGTCTAGTCTAGACCGCTTTAATCGCCCCTGGTGAATACGTGCCCGGTGGGCGTTCGGGAGTGCTCGCATCCACGTTCATGTGCCTGCTCCATCTGCCCATCCATTTTAGCTCGCAGATGGGTCCTCGCGTCCCAAAAATAGACACGCTGAAGCGATTGCGAAGGAGTCACGTTAAACCTTTTCTATTTTTATAGAAAGGCTGTAATTACAGTCTGGTAGAAAGGAACTCTTGAAGGAGGGTATAAAAATAGGGTAAAATAAGCATAATGTAGGGATTAATGTTTTTCCATTTTTGTAAATGCAAAGCAATTTATTGAGAGCTTTGAAGCGTAAAAGACTCTGGCTGGCGTTAGCTGGGGTTTGGTGTGGGCCCTGCCGCCCGCGCCTTCGGAGGGCCTGCCGGCACTTTGGCCTTTACGAGCAGGTTTCCCACTCAAGTGGTGCCATCATGTTGCTTACACTTGGAAACATCCTATTTCCTGTGACGACTTGATCTCTTTTCTTCTCAGACAGGTTTTGGTTGTGGCTCTTTCATCAGCCATGGCACGCTTGCTGCGGTCCCCGTGGGGTGTGCGCAGGCTCAGGGGTCTGAAAGGGGGCCCCTGGGTTTGCCCCAGGGCGGGGCGGGGGCAGGGCGGGGTGACGGGCAGAGGCCTGTCCTGCGCAGTGGGAGCTCTGCCCCTCCCAGCCTGTGCCTGTGCATTCTCTGCCCCAGCGCCCCTGCTCCGTAGGCCCCCGCGAGACCTGGGGGAGTCTCTATTTGTAAGGCGCTCATGATGTCTGGAAGACGATAATTACCATAAAATAAAAAAACGCCGCACTGGGGTCTCTGCACAGCTGCTCAGCAGGACCCAAGCCCCGCCCCCGTGTCCCAGGTCCCCGTCCTGCAGTCCTCCCCTGACGGCACACAGCTCCTTTCTCTGGATCAGGCGGACTCCTGAAATCTCTTCCTTTAAATAAGAAAGAAATGTCAGATCAGTTTTTTAAAGCAGGAAAAACAACAACAACAAAAACTTGATAACCCAATGACCTTGGGGAAGAGCTAAGGGAAAAAGAAGCCTCCCCCCAGATCCGCAGGGGGAGAGGAGCCCTCCCGGGCATTGCGCTTGCAGTGCATGCGCGTGTCTTCATCGCTCACAGGGTGACGGGCGGGGGGCGGGGACTTGTGGGCGTGCGGGGCAGGCTCCGCCCCTGCGGCAGCACTAACCAGTAACCACTAACCACTAACCACTAACCACGGGCTGTGTGTGTTGCAGTGGGATCCCGCCGACGGCTGTCCCGCCCCCGGCAGCAGAGGCCCGGGCGAAGAGGTGCTGTACGATAACGCGGGCCTGTACGATAACTTGCCGTCTCCGAAAATCTTTGCGCGCTACCCGCCCGCCGACAGAAAGGCTTCTAGGCTGCCTCCAGACACACTGTCCTGTAACCATTACAAACGGCCCCCGGCCTGCGGGCCGCCTTCCGCTCAGTCTGTCACTAACACCTCTTCTGTGGGGAGGGCGTCTCTCGGGCTCAGCTCCCAGGTACAGCACTGCGTTCTCGCACGTTCTCGCACCCTCTCCGCGCCACGGTCCTCCCGCAGGGTTTGCCTCGATGCCGGCTTGTCGTGAGCGGGGCTGGGCCCGGGGGGAGCCTCGTAGAATCGGCGAGCACAGTCGAGGTTCGCCGCCCGGGGCCAGAGTCCTCGCTCCTGGCCAGCTCCCCGAGCCTCACCAGGCTTCTCCCTCCCATGTCCGGCTCACCCTCCGGTCTTGGGAAAACCCCAGCGATAATGTTTCCTTCCAAACAGCAAGGAAAGGTGCACTGCACGGAGTAGCTGCTTTCTGATCTTTAAACCTTGAATAGGACTCTTCAGAGCACCAGGGTATTTTTCCACGATGAGTATAAAAGCAGGCTCCCTAAAACCAAGGGGATAATAAGGATTTGGATGACTATTTATTGAACGATTACTTGATACTGACTATTGTTTGTCTCTCACCTCCTGATTGGAACAAATGGCAGCTTGTGAGCATAAGTACTAATTTTGTGTTTTCAAGCATTTTCAACCTAAGAGTTTTTCATTCTTTGCACAGAGCTTCACACCCTGTGTGAGAAGGGCTCTGTGAAGCCGGTGAGCGCGTGTTGGGCTATGCGTGTCCTTTCCCCCTGCCTTTTGGGTGTCTTTACTAAACATGTGCAGAGGGGTGGGGGGGACCTGGCGTTTCAGGTGCACGGAGCCCTTGCCAACGGGGTGCTGCCATCAGACCATGTGCAAGTTTCTGTTTGTGACTTTTAGTGACAGTGGCTAAGTCTGTTCAGTGAGGCTGGGGGGGTCAGATGCAGGCACCGCTGGCCTTGAGCTTCCAGGAGCACTGATGCCGGAAGCCTAGCAGGTCCCTTGTGGAGGCTCAGCAGGAGGCTCAGCAGGTGTCCGTGACTCGCTAAGTAACTGCACCAGACCAGAAGCTCCTCCTCCGCCCCCCCCCCCCCGCTGGGCCCCACCCCCTACAGCAGGAGGCCAGTGTGAGGGTGGAGGCGGGACTGGACGCAGCATCTGCCCATCACTGCAGCAAAATGCAGCATCCCTCGGCCTGCTGCAGTGCGAGAAGTAGGGTGCCGTTAAATTTTTAAGATCTGTGGTTGGTCAAAATTTATTCAAACTATTTCCATACCATGCGCCTCTTGCTGCCTTCCTGAGAGCCCTCAGTGAACCCAGCGTGGTCACTCACCCTGTCAGGACGTCAGCCCCGCCTCCAGCCCCTCCCCCGCCTGCGGCACTGGGTGCTCCGCTGCCGCGCCAGGGCCTCCGTCAGCATTCGGGGTTCCCCGGGGCTGTGTGGAGCTGCCCCTGCTACTCGCCGAGGACGGCCTGGGGCTCCTCGGGCCCGAGCCCCTCAGCTGGGCCCGACCCCCGCGGCCCAGCGTTCGGAGACCACGTTGGCGCCCTCCCCCGCCCGGTGCTTCCCTGTCTGCGCCAGCTCCTGCGTGCAGAGCCAGGGACGGCAATGTGCTGCAGAACAGAAAGCGTCCGTGTTTCAGGTCATTTGTTTTTCATTTTCTTCTCTGTTTCTTCCAACAGCTGAAGGGTAAAAAGCCCCCGGCAGCATCCAACGGGGTCACAGGAAGAGGCAAGGCCGTGGGCAGCCAGCCAAGGAAAGCCGCCTCGGCCACCGGTGTGACGCGCACGCCTTCAAGTGAGTGCCCTGCTCGCGTGTCCGGCCCAGCTGACGGTGCCACCAGCCCGCGGAGCCGGGCGGGCGTCTGCCCCCTGGAGCCCGTGGGAGGGCAGGGCCTGTAGCTGCGCCGCCGCCTCTCTCGCCCATTGGACAGGAGGGTGGCGCGGCCTGGGAGCCCGCCTTCGCGACGGCGGTCTGGGTGCACAGGAAAGACCAGCTGCTTGTCTGGCCCAGGACTGGTTACACTGACTTAGGTCAAGGCACCTGGAGGGGCAGGGGCCGCTGCAGGACCCTGGCTTTGAGTTGGGGGACCTCCGTTGGTGTCCCCGGTCTGTCGGTGACTTAGTGCCTTTGGTCAAGCTGCATGAACTCTCTAAACTCGGCTCCTGTATGGGGGATGTCGTCGATCGGCTGCGGTGGTTTCCCTGGTAAAACAGTCCGGCGGCCCTGGAGGAGCTGGGGTCTAGGCGCCCTCACGCCACAGGAAGCCCTTGTCCGCCTCTCCCGCCGGGCCTCGGGGCTGCCCCTGGGGCAGGTGCTGCCAGCTGCCCGTGGCCCACACCGCACGTGCGAGTGACCTCTGAGCGGTTCGGGGGCTCCCCGGGACTCCCAGCTGGTGTGTCACAGGACCACAGTGAGCACCAGGTTTTCGTTCAGACGGCAAAGCCAGCAGGGGACAGCCACGCAGAGACGAGCCAGACTCGGGTGGGACACTCGGCTCGCCTGGGCGCAGCGCCTCCCCAGTCTCCGGGGGACACTGTCAGCGCGGCTGTGTATGCTTCCTGGCTCTGGTGGCGCTGGCACCTCTGCACCGATTGGCAGCACAGCCCCTCCCACGCCCCGAGCGCCCTGGGCGCTCGGGAGGGTTTCCTGGGCGGGGCGGGGGGCGGGGCCAGACTCGAGCCCCTGAGGGGCTGGCTGTCGTTTCTGACTCCAGCTCCGTGGAGCCGGCAGAGGGGGCTGCACGAGGCCAGCAGCTCTAGGGGGCGCTGTCTGCCCCGCCCACAGGAACTGCCTCGGTGTGTCCTGCGAGGGGGTTTCAGAGTCGGGGGGTACACGGGGGGCTAAGTGGACCGGCCTGGAGCGGCTCTGCAAAGGCCCCCCGGCGTTCTGCACTGAAGCGATGCTCCGGCGCCCCCGGTGCAGCCGGTGCGCTCACGGCCTCTCACGGGGCCTGGGCCGCCCCGCGGGGCGAGCGGGCAGGCAGGGCCGGGGCCCGCTGTTGTGCGAGGCCCGAGTCACGAGGAAGCCTCTCTCCGTCGCAGGCCTGATTTTATTTCCCAGGTGATTTATCCCTCTATTTCATGAGACCTTCTGGAGGAAATTTTTATTAACTGTGGTGACACCTAATGGAGACAAATGAGAAAAATAATTGCATTCTGTGTTTTTGCTGACTTCAGCCAGTGGCCTTGTTGACTGGCTGGGGTTTGTGGCGCGGGGACGAAAAGGTGGGGCGGGTTCTGGGCTTGCTGGGGAAGCGTCGCAGCCCAGACGGACTTCAGCAGCTCACGTGCAGAGCGGCCGGCCCTGAGCCCCGGCCGCGCAGTCACCTCAGGCCGCTGCCTGCCTGGTGCCCTCCGTGCGTGCTGTGTTTCTCAGTGAGAGGCCGTGGAGGCGGCGTGGCGCCTGCCTTCCTCAGGGCGGTGCTCCACTGCAGCCGCCGGGGCTTGCAGCGCAGACCCAGGAGTCGGCGTTGGGGCGGGCGCGCCACGCAAAATGGCTCGCCTTCGCCCCTGCGTGGACAGGGCTCTGGGGATGCGGTCATCGCTGATGGTGTCCAGAGCTGCCGAGGGGTGCCCACCAAGCCCCAGGCATCACAGGCTTTTGTGAGATGGGTTTTAGGAACAAATGTCACACTTTAAAAACCCTACAAGATGGGTCTCGGTGCGTCTGCCTTGCAGAGGGGGGAGCTGAGGCCCAGGGAGTGGCGGCCACGGCCCCTCTCAGGCCCACTGCCTCTGTCGCAGGCTGCCATGCCGTCACTGCCCTCCACGGAAGCCACGCCAGCCCCGTGGGGCAGGGGGTGTGCAAATGCCCGCATGGGGCGCACGTGGGGTACGAAGTAACAGGGCTGCGTCGAGTCTGCTGCCCTGGGCTGTGACCAGGCCTGAGGCGGTCCACGTGAGAGAAGCCGGGGGCAGTGGGAGCTTCTGGAACGGTGGCCCTGCGTCAGCCTCGGGGGCTGCTGCGTACGTTTCCCAAGAGACCCGCCCTGAATTGTCAAAGGCCAGCGCAATCAGAGGGAAAGAGCGGGGTCAGGGCGCACAGGCAGCGTTGGCGATGGGGCAGCGTCGGCTGAATCCCTGAACGTCCCTGAGACCGCCTTCCTGTGCGTCCGCCCACTCGCACGCTGCGTTCAATGAGCGGCGGGCAGTGCTCGCGTGCTGTCTGCTGTGAGTGCTTTATGAACATTGACCGAATTCTCACACCAGTCCTGTGAATCATCCCCGTTTCCCAGATGGGGACGCTGAGGCAGGGAAAGATTAAGTGCCTCGCCCAGGCCACGCAGCCACAGGGGGCAGGCTCGGGCTCAGACAGAGGGTTGGGCTCCGGGCCCACCCTGTGCTGCGTCTCCCTTTCTTCATGGTTCTCTCGTTCACCACCCGGTATTACAGCGTGTTTGGTCCAGGCTGGTGTTTCTCGGGGCAGCAGCAGAGCGGGGCGGTGGGGCCGTGGGGCCAGCAGTGAGGGGTTTCTAGAAGCATTTTGAAAACCACGGAGAGTGTCGCAAACTCGTAGACAGCGTTTGCTGTGGGTGGCCTCGTGGCTTCGGGGCAGCCCGCGCACTTCAGCTGAAGTGCATGCCGGGAAGGGAGAGCATTCAGGGATTTCCCAGTATTCTATTTTCTATCTTAGAAGTTGTGTCAAACACCAGATAGCTTGTGCCGGTTCACACTGGTCCCGTTCTTTCCCTGTTGAGTTAACAAACTAGCCAGCGCTGAGTTTGTGTCACCCTGCGGGTTGACCGAGCCAGCTTTGTGAGCTGCCTTCTTTGTCCGACCCTGACTTCCCATCACTGCTTTTGTTTTTAAGATGCCGACCAGTACAAATATGGCAAGAACCGGGTTGAAGCAGACGCCAAGCGGCTGCAGACCAAGGAGGAGGAGCTGCTGAGGCGGAAGGAAGCCCTGCGGACCAGGCTGGCCCAGCTGCGGAAGGAGAGGAAGGACCTGCGGGCCGCCATTGACGCGAACGCTGGTAGGAGAGGCGCCGGCCTGAGCGCGTCTGAGTCTGGGCCCCTCTGTCGGCCACGGGGCCTCGCTGGCCGGGCTCTCGTCCTAGCCCCGGCTGTGCCGGGGCCTGCTGCTCGGACCCTGGAAGCACTACTGGGTAGCCAGCGCTGAGTGCGACAGGGTGGCGGGGCACCTCAGCCAGAGAGTGGTGCCTGGGGACAGGCGACACTCAGAGGCCCGGGGCGCTGGCCTCCGCACGGGCACAGGAGCCTCGTTCCCTGAGAAGGCAGAGCCGGGGGCAAGGCAGCGCCCAGTTCTCGGAAGGGGCCGGGGGGACGCCAGGTCAGCGGCAACAAGCCACAGAGAGGGCCGGGCGGGCAGGCGGTCCTGGGACCTGTCGGGGCCGGAGCCGTGTCCACAGGGCCTGCTTGTCCTTGCCGCAGGAGCTGGGCGGAGTCCCGGCGCTGGGGATGGAACTGCTGGAAGATGTGCCTCAGGTGCAGCCTGGGCCTTACCCTGGCCAGCGTGGGCTCCAGGTTTCCGAGCCACTGGCCTGGGACAGGGAAGGGCGAAGGCCGGCGTGGGGAGCCGTGAAGGCCCGCAGGGGAGGCGCCCGCCTCTGGGTAGCTCCGTGTGCAGGGCGGAGTTGGCGCACGTGCACAGCGGGATTGAGCCTCCCCAGCCCTGTGCCTGCATGACTCGCATGGAGTTTAAAGAGGAGGGGCAGGTGCTGGCCGAGCGGGGTGGCAGTAACTCAGAGGAGGAGGCAGGAGGCAGGCATCACGTGGAGCGCAAGGCCATCTAGGGGGGTCAGGTGCCGCGTCAGAGGGTTGAATGGGGGCGGGGGGTGGAGATGCAGGCTCAGACCAGCCTTTGGCCTCAGAAAGCTCCTCCCACGCTGTGGGCTCTGCCGTGCTGTGTGCGCTAGACCAGGGCCACGTGCACAGGCCGGTCAGCCCGTGGAGTCAGTGTCCTCACCTGTCCAGTGGGTATGGGACCAGCCTTCCTGTGTCGCTGCCCCACATTTCAAATAGTGTGACATGAGTGCGCCCAAAACTAACATGCCCCTGCTCTGTGGGGACGCAAGCTGTGTCTAGCTGCAGGGGCGAAGGAGGTGGCTCGAGAAAGTGGCGGAAGGATGAGAACATAGAATACTCAGGCTTTTCACGTCAGTGGCCCCCTGGGAAGCCGTGTAGCCCACGCAGTAGGAACACACCAAGGCCCACCTGGGGGACACAGGGTCCCCTGCTTTCCGGGCCCCTGTCCTTCCCCCCGCAGCCAAGCAAGGGTGAGGAGAGGACGCTGTTCCCTGAGGGACAGCCAAGCGTCAGTTTCACAGAAGGACACAGGCCCGGGGGCTCCAGCCGCCGGCCATCCAGAGTCCCCGCAGGCGCCCGAGGGCCAGCCGAGCGCGGAGACACAGCACAGGGTTTCTCTGGGCCCCCAGGCAAGAAGACGCAGCTGGCCCTCGAGGAGAAGCTGAAGGTGCTGGACGAGGAGTGCAGGCGGCGGGAGTCGGAGCGCGTCAGCCTGGAGCTGGAGCTGACCGAGGTCAAGGAGAGCCTCCGGAAGGCGCTGGCCGGCGGGGTCACGCTGGGGCTGGCCATCGAGCCGCGGCCGGGGGCCTCGAGCCCGCAGGTAACGTCCGCCCGCAGGCCCCACCCCTCCTGGGGAGACGCCCGTGTTCCTCTCTCGAGGGGCCCCTCCTGGTCCCCAGCCTCGTCCAGCACAGAAGGCGCACAACACATGTCGGCTCGGGACACTTTCTCAGCCAAGGGTCCCGGTCACTCGCACTAGAGGCTCCGTTGCTTCCTCGGGGCGTCTGCCCAGGGGCCGGGGCACGGCCTGTGTTCTCTCCTTTGCGAAATCCGACGGCCTGGGGTCCTGTTCTTCTTGTCCCCTTTGATGCATGTCCCAATTCGGTGCCAGTGCTCGAGACAAACATTCATTCACCGTGGCAGGGTTTTATAGAACGCCTAGCACGTGCTGCGCGTCTGCCCGGTGCTGGGACGGATCCAAGCACAGTCTGTGCCCTCTGCGCCTCGAGCACAGCAAATGGAAGCCATTTGTTTTGGTGGAATTGCCACCTTAATGACAGTCGTGTACTGTAACCCTTTGTCTTTTCCACGTGAATCCATCGAATCCTCGCCACCCCCCGAGTGACGGGTCACTGCTTCCACTTTACAGAGGAGGGACTCGGCCGCGGAGGAAGGGACCTGCCCGAGAGCAGGCCGAGGGCGCGGGACAGATGAGCTCAGCCCCTTCCCCCTGCCCCTGCCCCCCGCCAGCGCCAGGTGCCCACTGGTGCCTCTTTCCAAAGGCCCCTCCCCACCACCATGCGCGGACTGTGGAGGCGCCGAATCCTGCCGCCTGCCCCCGTCCCGCTGCCCAGAGTCCCTGCCGCACCCGTTTCCTGCAGAGGCCGTCTCCAAACTGCCCCGTCTCCAAGCCTGCCCTCCCCAGGGGCCCCCCGCACTCGGCAGGGCTGACTCCAGCAGCACAGTGGCCTCCCAGGACCACGCCCCTGCCCGTGGGCCGCTCCTTTCAGCGGCAGCTGAGTCTGCGTTGGGGGCCGCGTCTGAGGTTAGATCCTCAAGGCCATGGCGTTGCATCTGTCAAAGGGGTGACAACATCGCCTGCTGCCAGGACCTGCACGGACAGCCCTCGGCTCCGTGCCTGGCCAAGGGAGCGTGGGCCCGTTCACTCCTGCCCTGTCAGCAAGTGGCAAGGGGCTGCCCTGGGGCCCGGCAGGGACAGCGGGGAGCTGCTGCGTTCGTGGGGCATCTGCCCTGGTGAGGGAGGCAGCCGGGCGAGCGGTGCCGGACGCCGGTGAGGGCGGCGCGGAGGCCTGCGGCAGGGCGGTGGGAGGCAGCGCCCAGGGCCGGGGGGGGCACGGGCATCCCAGGGGCCAACGTGAGCGGGGCCCAGGGAAGCCAGTGTCAACTGGAGGCGGCAGTGAGGCTCTGAGCGCAGCCGGCGCGGGGCAGGCGGCCTTCCTCGGCCCGTCCTGGCCTCTGAGCCCCTCTGGGCCTTTGTTGGAGGTGAGCTGGAGCAGGACAGTTGTGTGGCCCTTTGACCTCCCTAGAGGGTGGGCTGAGGAATGACCACCACCCTCGGGAGGCACTGGGTCCCCAACCCTCCCTCCCCTCCTCCCCTCCCAGGCCTCCCAGGCCCGGCCCCACCTTCCCTCCTGCACCTTCGACTCTCCTCTCACGTCCTCTGAGCGTCAGGAGGCCTGTGGGTTTGGTCCCTGTGTTAGAAGACGGTTCTGCTGTGTCCCCGCTGCCCCTCCCAGACCAGGCTTCTGGAAACAGCCGCCCGTGCGTGGAGGTTCAGCCCACTCCCTTCTCCACGGCGGGGGCGGCCCTGCCCTGGGCCTGCCCTCATTGCGCCTCTCCCTCCCGCTCCGATTCGAGAAGCTTCTGCTGGGCCAGCTCCTGTGTCTGCAGCGACCCCTTGTTCTTCCCCGCCTCCCCGGGCCTCCCTCTTGCCCCCGGCAGCCCGCCTTTCTGTGCCCGCACAACCGAGCCGGCCCTCGGGGGGCTGGGGACCCGTGTGGGAGCAGTGCCCTCAGACGCGTGCTCACGGCTTCTGTGCTGTGACCGCCTCTCCTTGGCCGCTGCTGCCCGGCCTGGCGGCCCTCAGCGTCATTCCCGCCTGACTGCATACCCGGAGTTGCCGCTTGTCGGACAGGCGCATCCCCAAGAAGGGGCACGTGCCGGACCAGCCTCGCCGCTCCCGGCAACGGACAGCACGCGCCCCTCCTCCCCCAAACCCCGCTCGCTGCACCCCCCATGCCTGGCGAAAGCGTTTCCGCGTTAGCCGGACCCAACCACAGGGGCGCTGGGGCCCGCGGTCGGTAGCCCCGCAGGGGACTCTCCACGACCTAGTTTACTGGTCCTGGGAACACTGTTCTCCAAAAGCCACGCGCCATCCGGCCCGGCCAGGAGCCACAGGGCTCGCACCCCCCGTGGCAGCCAGGGCGTGACCCCTCGGGGGCTGGGTGGCAGTGGGCACCCCGACGGCCGGCGCCTGTCCCTGAGGGCGGCGTGCCAGCTCCCACGGAGGGGCTGCACGGGGCGACCCTGGCGCCTGACTCACACTTCGTCTTGCGCTCAGTCCTCAGGAAGCGCCCCCCTCTGGCCCCCTCTGGCCCCTGTGAACTGTGAACGGTCTGAGCCCCGGCAGGCCCGGCGCCTGCTCACGCCAGGGGGCCCACCCGCGTGTGCGGCTCCGTGAGCTCACGCCGTCGCTGTCACAGCTGCTGGCTGGTGCTGCCGCCGGCGGCAGGGCGGCCGCGGCCGCGCACTCCCCAGGGAACCAGCACGGGGCAGGTGGGGCGCGGGAGGGGCCCCGGGGGCTCGGGGGGCAGAGGGGGCCGACGGGCTCCCCTGGCCCCACTCCCCAGCATTGCCGGCAGGTTGGAGTGTCCCCTGAGCCTCAGTCTTTCCGTGAAATGGACGTTGAAAAGGCGCTCTTTGCCTTGGGCGCAGACCCTGCATGTCCCCTGTGTCCTCGTTCTAGTTGTCACCATTTTTGTCTATTCCCAACCCCTAGTTCTCCTTACATGCAAGCCATCCCCTGCTGGGAGGCAGGGACAGCCTGGGCTCCTCACACGGGTCTCCCCTCTCCGTCAACAGTCCCCGCTGAGCCGGCACCGGCCGCTGGAGAGCTCGCCCCTGTCCAGCTGTGAGACCAGCGACGCCGAGGGCCCGGTGCCCGTGAACAGCGCGGCCGTCCTGAGGAAGAGCCAGCCGGCCGGCAGCGCCCCTTGCCGTGGCCATGTGCTGCGGAAGGCCAAGGTCAGTCCCTCTGCACCCTCTGAGGGCGCGGCCCGACGGGCACAGACCCTCCAGCCTCAGGGCCTGGTGGGAGAGACAAGGCAGCCAGGCTCGTCCTCTGTCCAGTCCCTCGGCCCTCCCCCGCCTGCCCCTGTGACCGGCCTCCGGGCCCTGCCTGTGGGCGGGCCCCAGGCCCCTCCACCCCCAGGCACCGGGCGCCAGGCAGCCCGAGGCCTCGGCTGGGTGGCTGTGGCTCTCCATCCGAGGGCCGGGCTCCACTCTCCGCGCCCCTGCGGGGTCCTGGGTCCCCGCGCAGGTGCGCCTGCCTGGGACGGCGGCGGCCCCACCGCATGACCAGGCTGTGTGGTGGGCACAGCAGGGCGCCTGTCGACCTCATTTCTGGGCCGTGCGGTGACTCTGGTGTTTTGAGGAACCGCCACCGGCCCGCCTTCCACGGCAGCCCGCGCCCACCCTTCGGGTCACCCACAGGTCCCGTGTCCCGCGCCGTGCCGATTTACCTGTCCGCTCTTGCTCTCGCTTCCCCTGACAGGAGTGGGAGTTGAAGAACGGGACGTAGAGGAGAGCGGACGTCACCGGAGCCGGACACGGCCGCGCAGCCCTGCAGCAGGGTGCCCAGCGCCGACCCAGACCCTCACGGGTATTTTTTCTACTGTAGGACGGTCCCTTTAAAGAAATTTACCTGCAACCCTTGGTGTCCCACTTGATTTGTTAAGGACAAAAAGGGAGGAAAGGCCATGTGAGACAGCCCCCCGGGAGCAGGGCGGTGATGGCGCTCACCCACTCGCGCCGTCCGCCTGCTGCGGCCGGAGGGGCGGCGGGGCCCCGGGCGCGCAGCCTGTGCGGTCTGCCGGAGGCCAGAGCTGTGCAGCCTCGACGGAACGTGCGACCGCTGTCTCTGCGCCCCCCGCCCCCCTCGTCCCTGGACGTGAAGGCCTGAGACATTGTGCTGTGATGTGTTTTTCTACCTTTTTGTTTCTTCTGGACAGACGCTTCACTGCCTGGACACGAGAAGCCGCCATTCTTTTTAAAGGTTTTAGGCGTTTTCCCTTGTGCGCTGCACTCAGCCCCCGGGGTTTCCAGAGCCTCCGCACCCCGTGCCGTTGGTGATGGCGCTGCTCTGGGAAGGCGGCCCCGGCTCGGCTGCTGCGCCCCGGCGTGGCCTCCCGCCTCGTGCCCTGGCTGCTGCGCTCGGGGAGCCGGCGGCCTCGCGGAGCACGCGGTGCGCCTGCCCTTCCCAGGATGTTTGCTTGGGGGGTTCTCCTGTGAAAAGGAGGCAGGCCCTGGAAGTCATGGTTACAGAACCGTAACATCGTGGTGCACGGGAGGGCCTTCCAGAGCTGCTAGCCAGCCCCCACCCACGCCTCCAGTTTGTGAATCAAAGCCGGGAGCACGTCCATGGATGTGGGCCTTGTGGGGCCTCGTGGGGCCTCGTGGGGCCTCGTCCCCACCGGCCTGTCCGCCTCCTGTGCGGTGTTTGCTGGGTTGACTGGGCACTGAGGCACAAGGGGGACGGAGAGCGGCGTGTGCGCTGCAGGCCCTCCCGCATCTCCGGGGACCCTCGCGTTCAGCCGTGGGGTGCGGTCAGCAGCCCTTTGCAGGCCGGCGCCCGGGCACAGGGCACGCGCACGGAGGGGCTCTGTCCCCCAGAGGGGGGGCTGCGGGGGACACAGGCCTTGGCCGCCTCCCGGGGGAGGACCCCGTCCCCTGAGGCCATCTCAGTGCACGCACAGGGCCATGGGCTGTCCCTGAGCTGACCGGCCGGGCAGGAGGCCGCTTGTGGCATGTGGGGAAGTTTCGCGCGCTGTTTTGCTGGACTGCACCCGGGACCTGATGTCACTGCAAAGCCATCTGCCTTTGACAAAGGGGTGCATGGTGGTCCCGAGCTGTCCTCACCCGGCGCTGTCCCTTTGACCTCCTCCCCACAGGGCGGTGAGCTGAGGGACATCCCACCAGCACGAAGCAGGGGGGTCCGCGCAGGACGCTGGGGCCGGGGCCGGGGCCGGGGGAGGGCTGTCCCCGGGCGGCCTGCCCGCTGGGCGTCACGCACAGCCACTGTCCTGTGCAGGGGGAGCCCCGGGTTCCGTGCGCCTGTGCTGCCGCCGGGGCGTGTGCAGTGTCTCCCGGGAAGGCTGGCAGCCGCTGTGCTGGCAGCCAGCTACGCCCAAGAGAGCTGCCGGGCCCGCTGTCCCCGGACAGGAGGGCCAGGGAGGCCTGAGCTCCTGCCCCTCGCCCAGCGGCATGGGCGGCACCGACGCGTCCAGTGCCCAGCGCCTCGGCCGTATCCGTGGGCCGTGCCCGCATCCGGGGCCTCCCAACGCCCAGCAGACGTGTGGTGGGTACAGACCCCCGTTTTGGATTCACTTTCATAGCCCTGAGCCTTCCAAGGTGAACTTCAGGCCAGCTGGGCTGTGCGGAGCCATTTAAAATGGGTCCCGCGAGGACGGGGCCGCTGACGTCGGCCCCAGTAGTGCGCTCCCTCCACATTCTAGCTTCAATCGGAAAGTTAGTTAAAGCCTTTGCTTCAAAGTAAGTTATTTATTTGTATATGTTCAATGAATGTAGTTTTAATTTATATCTGTACATATTAGACACACACTAGGCATCTTGTCAGAATTCTGACAGCGAGCTCATCACAGGCCCCTCCTGCCCCGGGCAGCGGAGACGCTGAGCAGCCCGCGGGTGGGTGGGCAGATGGGGGCAGGGGTCCTGCTCCCCTGGGGGAAGTCAGGTCCCTTTCAAACGATACCCGGTCCATTGACACACAGTCACGGTCACAGGAAGCTGGCCAGACTCCAATGGGCTCCTGACCGACCAAGAGAGGGCCGTGGGGCCGTGCGGAGGGGCCGGGGAGGCCGCCCCTCACCCCCCACCCTCGCGGTCACAGGCCCTTCCCCCCGCCGGAACCTGAAGCCACACTTGTCCTCAGGGCTCTGCCCCCAGCCTTATTTTGATAAAGTGCCATCAGCCTTCAAAATCGCCCCGCTTTTGTATTTTTATAATGTTTTTACCTCGCTCACCCCTTTTGCACAGACCCGTGCCGGGAAGGGTTCTCTGCGGCGCTGCAAGGGAGGGCGGGGGGCGGGCGCGGTGCGGGGGTCCCCCTGCTGCAGGGCCCCCAGCGGCCCGGGGGCGAGGCCTCCACCGCACGCCCCTCCCAGCTCTGGCGACCTCAGACACGCCCGCAGGCCGGGCCAGTCCGCCCCCGCCCAGTGCCCTGGGCCTGTGCGCCGCGCCCACGGCGCCGTCCCTGAGTGGTTCCTGGCTATTTCTGAGACCCTCAGCCCCTCGGGTACGTTAGGGATTTGCCACCTTTTGCAAAGTCTGTTTGAAGGTGTGTGTGTCCGAGGGCAGGAGCTCCGGGCTGGTTGGCCAGGGCGACCGCCGGCAGGCGCCTGCGGGTTCCCCAGGGGACAGCCGTGGGCGCGGCTCCCTCGCGGGTGGCCACACCCTGTCTTTCCAGAAGAGACTGTTCGCCGTCACCGTGCCATTTGGGGGACCCAGCTCACCAGCCATTATTCTCTGTCTATTCACCAAGCATGTGACAGGCCCCCCCCACCCCGAGGGGCAGTGGGCGGGGCCCCAGGCAGGGCCTCTGCCCCGAGGAGAGGGCGCCCGGCCATGCGGGTCCCGCAGGCAGCCTCCCCGGGGCTCGGCGGCCGGCGGTCTCCGGGCAGGGCCCTCCTCGCCCCGAGGACCACATCACGTGGGGACGTGGGGCTCTTCCTCTTCTTTCTAAAGCAATGTTTGATGGGAAAAGTAACTTCAAATCAGGGCGTACTTTTAAAGAGGGTAATTATTGCTGTTTGTTCCTGCTGTCTTTACTGTCGCCCCAAGGCGGGCTGGGTTCATGTGGAATGAGCTACAGATGGACTAGAATCTCCGTGTCGTGCGCACCCGACACAGCGTCGCAGACAAGGCCGAGCCACCCCCGCCTGTGACGCGGGCCGTGGCGGGACAGCGCGTCCCCTGGGGCTGCTGGCCCCCGGTGCACCTGCTGGCCTGCGTTTCGCGAGCTACATCCGGGCCGGCGGGCAGCTCCTCATCGCCATGGAGACGTTTTCAAATGGGGATCGTCCGATCATAATTCTTAGGGACCAAAGGTGTTTTTAATAAGATAATCTTTGTATTTGATTTTCTAACGAGAAGGGTCGTTTAAATTTTAACAGCAACTTTTGAATTCTAGGTCTTCGGCATTGCTCGACCGTGGCTCTCCACTGTAAAATGTTTTCATATTAAGAATGTAATTATTTCCTTTTTGTACTTTTTAAAAACTAAAGTCATATTTAAAATTCTCTTTGAAAGAAGCAGGCAGGAAACAGGAAAGATTTTTTTAATCAAAAATGTTGGTCGTGCCCATTTTAAATGACTGTAAATATGTTTTCACTGTTTCTCTATGTATTTAATTCGTCAAGTGAGAGGTTTAACCAGAAGCGACGCGCCGCGGGAGCAGCCGGTCTCGCCCACCCCCCGCCTGCCCGGCGTTGGCCTCCCCCCGAGCACAGCGCTGCGGGGCCTCCCTGCCGGCTGCTCCTCACGGCGCGGCCCCTGACAGGCGCCGCTGCGGCGTGACTTGTGTGCGTGTTCTCAATAAACCTCTGCCCCTCCGACCAGGCCTCCGCGTCCTGACCCACTCGGCGTGAAGGCGGGCGTCCCTGGGCTTCCCTAGAGCTCACTGGGGGCGGTGGGGGCTGTTTGCTGAAGTCGCGGGGCGGGGGGTGGAGGTAGTGGGCAGAGGAAGAGGGTGCTTTGTTTCTCTTAGCAAAAGGGCTCTTTTGGGAAAGATCCATAGTTTCAAGGTTTTTTTAAGTGGCTTTTAGTCCACAGAAGCAAACACTCAATCCAAGGAACATCTGTGCACCTGCTGGGCGCAGGGCCCTGTGCCCGGTGCTGGGAATGGCAACGGCTCAGCGGGACCTGGCCCGGCAGCCCCCTGCGCTCTGAGCGCGCAGCCGTTGGCCGGGTGTGTGGGGGGCTGTGGGGGCCCTCAGCTGGGCCGCGGTGTGTAAGCTGGACTTCCACAAGGAGGGAGGCGGCAGCAGCGGGAGACCGGGGTGGGCAGCAGGGTGCGGGAGGAAGGGGCAGCGTGGGTCCGCAGGGGCGGGGCGGACTCTGTCCCGGGGGTCTCCTGTGGGAGGGGCGGCCACACCTCTGTTTACTCAGGCTGCAGGGGATGAGGATGAGCCCGTGCCGGGGTGAGGGGGCTGGGGAGGGGGGCGCAGTCGCGTCTGGGCTCCCCTCGTGCGGGGGCACCCACTCCGGGGGCTGACAGAGCAGACAGAAACCTCCAGGGTGCTGGCCCTTCGTCCCGGAACTCGGAACTCGGAGCTCACCTTGAGCTGATCCTGCCTGAGGTGCTCCCCGGCCACCGGACGTGGGGCTCGCGCTGCTCAGGAGTGCGCTGGCCGTCAGTGGGGGGGTGGGGGGGGTGGGCGCGGCGGGGAGGCCCACCCACGCTCCGAGCCTGTCTTTTTATGCCGGCGCTCTGACACCCGGGACCTCGCTGCCCTGGTGGACTGTCCTCCCGGGGCCGGCAGCCCCGGGGACAGTAAAGGACGC